ATATTTAGATTTATATGCAATATATCGTTAATTATTTACAATAATATATAATTCTCTAATAGATATTTTTACAAAAGAAGATATAAAAGTATAGAAAAACACCACAAACAGCTTTCGCTTCATTTAAATCATGTCGCCCATCGGTTTCATTATAAGCTCGTAGATTTGTACATTTGGTGGCTGCGAGAGCACATACATTACGGCGCCAGAAACGTTTTCTGGAGTAAGAACTTTACCATCGACAATCTTTTTCTGGGATTCTGTTATTAGTTCTGTATCAACCAGACCAGGGCTAATGCTCTGAAATTAAAATAAATATGTAAAAAAAATTAAAATAACCGTTAATATTATATTGAAGTGTGCAACATATATAAGTAAAACTTAGAATATTGGCATATACATATAGGGTTAAGTCAATAATTGAATTACCCAATTGCGCAACTTAGCATTAAATAGCATTTCGGGGGTCTTAACAAATGCTTTTACTTGGACTTGCCTTTGTCGGTCAGTTTTTAAGAGTTAAATGTCATGCACTCACCTCAGTCATCGTCTTACGTTTTGCCGATTCTTCCCTACTTAACCCACTGCTGTAACACCAGAGCTAAGTTCAATGTGTTAGTAGTGTTGTACAGTATATTTCTCACAAAAACTTAAGACGACATTGAAAGGTCTCATATTATTTAGGCACCGATAGCATCACACACTGACAACAAATAATCTGAATGATATTTATTATATTTCTGAAGTCTAAATCACGTAAAGAGGTGACCTTTACATGAAAAGGCAACCTTTGCGTGGTTTAACACATTTGCTAAAGCAGAGAATGTTAATGATAAGTATATGATAATATTTATTAACATTCTCTGGTCATAGTGCTAAACAGTTCGTCGCCGATTGTCACTCAGTTATCTACAATATAAGAAAGCTTATGAACTCTGAATATCGAAAAAGGTATATTTTGTTTCTCTATTACAGGTTAGTTTATGTTAAATTGGATATTGAGAATGTTTGTGATACCAAAACACATTTCGACTAACGGATATTCTATCAAAAATCTATAGAGATATTTAAATTCGGTTTCAGCCGATTCGCATGAATGATTTAAAATTTAAGATTATCATACTCGATTCAATTAATAATATTATAATTTTAATTACACTTTGACTAGTCTTAACAGTTTGTGTATTGCTGCTCCGCTATCGAAAAATATATATATGGATGTGTAATCGTCTAAAAGCCTTAAACTAGACTTATTGGACAAATCCCAATATTAGACTCTCCACCTTAGCTGTCGTTTTAAACATTTTGCGAAAAAGCTCAATACTGTACGCTATCCTCATTTCTTCCGTAGATATAAGGGCGCAGAAAAAATGAAAGGATCTCAGAGTGTCCAAGTAATAAACTTTTTCGAATTTAATAGCAACCTTGGGTTATATCTACAGGTAAAACAACGTTGATTGCCAATTTTTGTGTTAATGCCTTTGCTAAATTTCTCACTGAAATTCGTAGTTATAGAGCTGATTTCAGAGCCATCACTAGTTTGAAGTCTGTATGCATAAGGATTCCCCACTTAGCGCTAGCCTATTTCACGGAAAACTGCTCTGAACAACTTTACAAAGAAAGACTAAACCTTTAAGCTCACATTGGACATTTCAATATCAACTCCCCTTATATGAGAAAGTTAAGTGCCTTCACTTTTCCGCTAAATTGCTGCACTTTACACTTGATTCCATTTAATTTTCACTTTTACTATACCAAAATAAAGGCACTCCAAATTGAAATTTAAATCCGACATTTTTCACAGGCCCTCCCAGCAAACCGTACTCACCGTCACCTTCACACGTGTGCCCAACTCTTTGAACTCCTGCCGATAAATCTCGTTAATCGCTGTCAGCGCGAACTTGGTGGCCGGGTAAATGTTCAAAGTCGGCATGTGGCCCGGTATCACCGGCACCTTGTGTCCACAAATGCTATTTATCAATATCACATGACCGTCGATACGATGCGCCCGCATAGCGGCAAACACATGGCGTGTACAATTGACCACGCCCATAACATTCGTTTGCAACACCTCCTGCACCTCGCACTCGGCCATCGTGGCCAATTGGCCGGAACGCAAGCAACCGGCATTGTTGACCAACACATAGACTGGTCCGTAGTCGCGTATGATGCGCGTGAATGTCTCCGCCACATCCTGTGCATCGGCAATGTTGCATTTAATGGCGTGAAGGCGTGCACGCTGCTCGGCGGTAGGCAACTCTTGACGCAACGCTTCGATGCGTTCGAAACGTCGCGCCAAACCGATAACAATTAAACCGGCTGCAATTAGATCGCGCACAATGGCGGCACCAATGCCCGAACTGGCGCCGGTCACCACCGCCAATTTCGCTTTTAATTGCTCCATTAGTGTTTCACTGTGACGACTGAAAAGTAAGCATGCAATTCGTTTACACTGCACAAAGGTACCACCAACTCGGCGAATTGCCGTTGCTTTACTGGAATATAAAATTTCCAGTGCACTACTTTTTAAATGCAAAATGAAAATTTGCTTGCCGCAGAAGGGGACGCCGGTGAGGCAAGCAAATAAGTAAAAATGTGAAACTTGTCATTTGCTCGTCACCACGAAAGCCGCAAAACAGCTTTCGATGCTGTAAGACTCTTATGCACTTAATCTGCCGCTATCAATTTTCACAGTTATGTATATCAATGTCTATATGTATGCCCGCATCGCTGGTAGGCAAATGTGCCAAGAGTGAAATCGCTCAGGCGAAGTAAAAAGGCAACAGAAGTAAGGAAGAACTAAGCTGCAGTTAGAACAAATAATTTTCAACACTTTTGTAACATGCTAACCGTTTATATATAGACCGATTTCAACTAATTTAGGATCCATATCATTTTATGTTTAGCGAAGCTGAGACGGTAAATTTTCTTTCGTAGTCTTCATGAACAACCGATATGTGCTTTACGAAATCGATTAAAGCAAATTATTGTAGAGCTCTCAGTACCAAATTTTACCTTTCTGGTCTTATTATTGAAAAAGTTTTCGCATTTATAAAAATTTTGACTAATACCTTTATATTGGAGTTATTACTGAATAATTTGTACTGTTTTTATATTGTCGTGTAATCTATTACAAATCAGTGTTTTCACTGAGCAAAGGTATTCGATATATACTTACTGATTACTGATCCATAACAGTTAAAAGAACTAACCGCATTCCCTACATTCGCCCCATACGTAGATGAGAACCTGATAAGATAAAGTATACATATCTACAGGACTTATTACTCCTTCCTGTATTGTTTGTTAATTTTTCACGTTTATTGTCGGTAGCATTTCTCATTAATGGTTTATTCTTTTTAAAAAGCTCATAATAAACACTTCCTATGAAATACAAAGCATTACCTTGGAGTCATAGATATTTGGTTTTGCCATTGATTTGATTGGTAGGGCAAGTTTCACATATGATTTCTTGCGTTAAGGGTTGTAAAAACGTCCACTTTTCATCACGAGCCACGATCCGATGAAAAAGCTCTTTCTTTTGTAGCGTTCAAGCAGCATCTCTGACATGCAAAATCGTCTTTCAACGTCTCTTGCCTTCAATACATATGGCACCCCTTTACCTTTCTTTTGAACATATTCGGCTACTTTTAAACGCTTTGAAATGACTGGTTGAGTGATTTCCAAAGATCGTGCGAGCTTTTCTTGTGTTGAGCAACAATCTTCATCGAGTAATCCTTCCAGTTTCTCATCTTCAAACTTGGAAGTTTTATCTCCATATATAATTAGTGTGAGTTTGGCAGATGTTTTTTAGACATTAAAGATTTATCTGGCGATTTTTAACATGGAAAAAGTTGAACAATGTGTTTGCTTGAAATTTGTGTTTATAATGAAGTTACGGCTACGGTATCATTGAAAATGTTGCAGAAGCTTTTTGGGGCGCCTACTACTTTATTACAAATACAAGTATTTGAGTGGCACAAAACATTCAATGCAGATCGTGAAGTTATCGAAAACTTGCCGCATGAAAACGACACGCATGTCCATCCACCTCTGTTAATGACGATAACTTCGAAAAAGTTAAAGCAACAGCTGAAAACCGTCCGTTTACGGATTGACTTAACACATTGTGGTTAATGTTTTGGGTATGTAGTTTGGTAATGCCTAGTACTAAAAAAATTGAATATTCGTGTCTGAGTTGTATTAGAGCTGAGCATTCACAGAGAAAGTGGAAAACGGTTTCCTTGTTCGCTTCTAGTTCGCTACTGTGATAAATATTGTTCTAAGGCATACCCATTTTTAGCGCATGTTCTCCAAAATCCAGTGTTCCATTATAGTAGATTTAAGTCTGTAAATACTTAGTTCCTTAATTCTAGTCTTATCATACTTGCGCCATATCTGCCTCGTTATCTTTCAGTTGTTTATTGATTTCCATCTGCTCTGAGCTGATTTTTGATCGTTCCCAGCAGAATTGGTCGAAAGAGACTCCTAGCTTTTCGTTGCCGAAAAAGAGAGATATTTTAGATGGCGTGTAGAGGAAAGCTTAGGGGAAGCAGTGATTCTCTTTATTGAAGATACTATGAAAATGGAACTTATTAAGACTCCTTCCATATGTTTATAGTATAACTATAAAAACTAGCGCAAGACAATATTTTAGATTTTTTTTTTTTGTAATTTCGCAATATTTATTTCATCAATTAACTATTAAATTCATAATATGTATATATGCTTTTACAGTAATATTTATAAGTATGTATGTATATATATATGTATATATATATATAGATACTATGTATAACACATGTATTTTTTTTTACTTTTTACTTAGTTTATTCTCATATAATCAATACCCACTCGCCGGAATATACTCCACTTCACTAAAATGCTCAACCGAAACGATTACCAATATTAAAGGAATCTCTAATGCTTAGTTTTAGTCGAAAATTTTGTCTCAAATGGTTTTAGGTAGTTTCTTTAGTTATTTTTTTTCTAATCAAGGGATTTTATTTTTTTTTTTTGCAGTGCATACTATGCGTTTGGATTACTTAGTCCTTTTACACAATATTCTTGATTTTGTGATTTTATTTCATTTTTAGACAGCAGTTGTACATTTTAAAAAGTTTAGCATATTTCTTCACTCTCTACACTTGCGCGTTATCACTTAAACTCGTATATTTTGTATATAGGTTTGTATAATTTTATTTATTTATTTTTTAACTTTACTCTATAAGGAAATACATTTCACTTAAATTATCTGTTGATTCTGTATTTAGGTGTATACATCGATTCAATGGGCGCTTGTAGTCGATTTAAACGAACATAATTATTTTTAGTAAAATTTATTATTATTTACATACAAAAGTAGGTATTGTAACTAAGGGTTTGATTCAAAATTTTCTTCTAGTTCACTTCACAAATACATCACTGCAGTGTAGAAAAACCGAATGGGTTATCCTGTGTAGGTTTATCGACAAAATGTTTTTAATATCTCATATACATAGGAATTTACACTACTATTAATAACATAATAGATATATATAATATAATTGATATATACTTATTTCGTTCTCTCGAGAAGACTATTCTTATGCCGAAAGTTCAGTAATGTCAAGTTATCGAATCAAGTATTTACGCACCAAACTTTAGTTTCTAGACTACATCTTTCTCATAAGTCCCAATAGAGAAAATTAGAAATTAGTTTGAAATATATGTAAATCGAGATGCAGTCTACTTTGGAGGAGAAAACATTTCAATGAACAAAGGATCAAACTGTTTAGTCTAAATTAGTCCTAATTTTTGTTGATGACTGAAACAAGATAGCTCGACTCTGATGAGGCAATCTTGAAAGTAGTTAAAGCCTCAGTATGCTAATTTATGTGTTTTGAGAGAGATTGACTTTGTCTGTTTGAAAAATCACTAACAACTACCTTTTCATGTAACAATAGTAAATTTGACTTAAAAAACAAAACAAATAATAGACTAGAGACCAAGAATAGTCGATACAGGAGACTTCTCCTCCCCAAAAGTCCAAAAAGTGGCTTAACCAATTGCATTAGGCGGGAAGTACTATAAGCTTGCTCCATTGTTCTGGACTAAACTTGGGAAAACTCTAATCATGCTTATATGAATAATCTTTCTAGAATCTTAATACATTTTATTACTAGAAATACTACTACGAGAACTATAACCGCTTTTCGGCAAGGTATCATAGATATCACTACTACTCCTAGATTTCCATGGTAGGCTGGATTAGATGCGATACGAGGTGTGTCAATTTACAATATATACCTTGAATGTACTGATATCCCCACACAGTTTGAGGAATAAAAGATAAAAAGGACCTTAAACCTTAGTTCAAAATTACCATATGTAGGTCTTAGTTAAAAACACTATTGGGATTAAGCTTTTTCGTAGCAGCTACCGAACTGCATCCGCTAAGTTTAGGGCCTGTAGCAGAAGACGGTAGAAGTCCCCACGCTATTACTGGTGTCGGTGTGAGCGATGCTAATCGAAATAACCTTTTCCTTTCTTCAGAAAATTATGTCAAATAACATTTCTGAGTTTCTCCGCACCGCAGTGATGTGTGAGGTTATGTAGCAAAAATGTACGTTCTGAAGTCTGGGTACACATACAAGTGACATTTACTTCCAAAAATTCACATTATCAGCTCAGTATTTTTGTTATACATTTAAATGTTTGACTATGTTCAACTTTTATGTATTTTAATTTCATATTGTTGGAACTTAGGATCCATTAACGTTGCAATTAAATTCGTTTTACAATAATAACATTCAGATTATTTTTTGTATAATATATTTATTTTAAGTCTTAACTTTTTCTTGCACATTTGGAAAGAAAGAAACATTAATCGCTCTTTTTAATTTTGTTAAATGTAATTTAATGCCAACATCGTACAATCAGAGTTGCTTTTTGCACTTTTTTTAAATTTTATTTTAAGTTTTTATGGTTTTTGGTTTAAGCTACTGTAATGCTTAGCATAATGTATTTTGTATTTATAGTTTTCTTTTTCAACAATTTACAGTTTTGTAATAAACTAATTCAGCTTTATTTGTTTTGAATTCATATAACACTATGCTATAAAGTTAAGGTCTTAGTTTTGGAGGATGTATCAAACAGATCTCAAATGAAAGCGTCAGCACCATCAGCACCAAAAATTGGCAACTCACGCCATGTAAGGTCACAAATTATTTACAGTGGTCAAAATTTTTATTGAATAATATGAAAAAACACATATAAAAGAGAGATGTACTAGAATTATTCGATATATTCCTTTGGAGAAAATCTTAACCCTCTAACGAACAGCACGGGTCCTTTTTACCTTTTTTCGGTTTTTATTTCAGTGCTAAACTTTGTCGATATATTCTTTTCTAGCAAATCTCAACCCTAACGAAGAGCAGTGGTCCTTTTGACCTTTTTACGGTTTTAATTTTACTGCTAAAATTCCACTGGGTTTGTTTTTTTAAAAGTTTAAGTCTCTACTGAACAGCGCGACGAATTTTGGATGTTTTTTCCGGAAATACATCTTGAAGATTATTTTCGGAGAAAAGTTAAAATCATCCAATAAAATATTTTTAAGTAACTAGCTGACTATGTATCAATGAATGCAAGCACTCTCCAAGCGCTAAAATTGTCATAGCGGTTCAAATTAGATAGAAACTTTTAGTTAATACTTATTTTCGGTGAAAAATTCTTAGAATATTTTAAAGAATACTTATCGCTAAGAATTAATTTTAGTGCTTTATTCGAACGGGTGCCTTTAGCGGGTTAATATGTTAGGCTAGAAATAGTCTCTGGAAAATATTTGTGTGCTTTGAAGAAATTAATGAAAATGTTTTCAGTGCTATACATGATTTCTCACTTATTCAGCAAGAGGTTTGATCAAAAAGTTTCAAACGTGGACCCACTGTAAAAAAAATTGTCTCGTGGTAGAGTTAAATCGCTTCCAAGCTTTTTTTTTAGTGGCATCGGCTGCTACCTTTTCCTTCCTAAATTGTATTCCTTTATAATTTCTTTGTTACACCCCCAAAAGTATATGCTGCACAGTGTTGTCTGAGCGTAGAATAATAATTAATTTGTGCCAATTATTTGATCTATTGTTGCCTCCGATTAAAAGCAGCCTATTTATTTGCTTACATACCTATATGTATATATATTTACGTAGGTATGTGTGTATGCATGAGCTTTGCTTTTAGTTACATTGATTGCTTCTATTTATAAGTATATTTCATACAAATGCTCCTCGGTAAGCTGAGCAGTTGTTCAGTAGTAGTTGATATTTTGGTTTTGTGTTTCAGTTTTCTGTTTTTCATCAAGCGTTTGCGCTCGTAAGCTTCTTATAGCGTATTATTTGCTATGTATATACACACATTGATTTTTTTGGAAACATTTACATACTCATCATTTTTCTTATGCATTTTTCCTGTCATGTGTATGTATGCGTTTATTTTTGTTGCTGTTATTTTTCATATGCACTCATGCTGTAGTCTCAGCTTTTCTTATTTAAAGTTCTATATTCTTAAGTTTTACAAGTAGTTATGCAATTAAGTATTTTTCAGCAGCACCACAAAGGATTTCTTTTTTCACTCTAATGAATTTTTTTAATGTCTTTGCTATGCTAATCACACTAATAACCAATATAAGTTATGATATTAAAATTACCTACAGATGTGAAAATTAACAATGATCAACATTTTCCAGATTATTTATAACTATGCATGTATGTATGTAAGTAATAGTAATAGTACATTTGTGTTAATATATATGAATGAGTATATATGGAATTACTACTAAAATATTTACAGAGAAAAATAAGAATATCTTAAGAAAAAGTTTATTAATATATGAGGAATATAACTGGTTAATGCATATAAATATCCATATCGTAGCAAAATAATGCCGAAAAAATGCCTTTATACTTGCTCAGCGGCGTCTTTTCAAAGCTTAAAGCAAAATCTTATCTAGAATAGTCAAAAAAGTCCACAAATAATTATTTGGAAATATTACAGATTAACCCTGTTATATTGTATAAAATATTGTTCACAGAGTCCGCACTTTCCACAATTTGTTTTCTGGCATATCGTTTCAAGACGGAGAAAAGAATTTTGTTTACAGGGTCCGAAGTTTCCCATAGTTTTTTTTTTGTTTTTACGAAGAAAAAAGTATCAAACTAAAATCTCTGGCAACCGCAAACCGTGTAAAATAAATTATATATTAGAATTCAATCAATATTTTTTCCATCGCACTTTCTTAATTTTTTATTTGTATCATTAACCCAACCGGTTAACGGATTTTTGTGATATTAGAAACATTTATCTTCGATCCTTTCTTGAAAACAAGAAAGATAAATGTAGACATTTAGAAATTGACAGCGCACATACAAATTGTGGATATTTTTTTACTGTAAGCTGATATAAATGTCTTCATGAAAACCAATAATTTCAAAATCAAAGGTATGTTTTGAAAGTAGAATCAAGAATTTTCAGTTAATTCATGGTAGCGAGTAAAAACCGCGATTAGAATTAAATGTACAGAAGTTTTCGTTCTGTAGTGATTTCCACGCTTTTATTTGTAAAATAATACCGAAGTTTATTCCAAAAACTGGAGATAAAGCTCTGAAGTCCTAGGCATTAATATAATCGCTTTTAAAGAACATTAAAGGCTACTACATATTAGTATATCGATTTCAATAAGTTAAATGATATATATTTTTTTCAAATTTAGGAAAAGTTTAAATTCATTAAAAAAACGTAGGGGCCTGACCGTTTCTGTTAAACTTCCCGATCAATTTTTTTTAATATCTACCTTTTTTTTGTTTTTAAGGAAATGTTTAAGTAACATAGCATTTTGAGTACTTAATGTAACCCTCCGAAATAGTATTAAATGTTCGAGTTATTCTAAGAACCTCGTTAACGAGACTTTCGAAAATTCTTTTTAACTTTTTTCTTCCAAAATCTCGTATCTAAAATCAAATTATTCCTCAGTAATAAACAAAATAGAATAATTGTATTGAATCAGACAAATTTGACAGACAATGAATTGCAAATTTCCGAACGCTTTTTCGCCATGTAAAAGCTTCACTTTAAATACATCAATCATCCAGACCATTCGCTAAGAGGCTTACCAACAATTTTAGATATTATATATGTGTAATAGAATTTAGTATTGCTGGCATTTTCTTATTTTAGAATAGAACTCTAATTTTGATCTATTAAAATTTTAAACTACTTGTATATTTCGCTGTTATTACTGGAAAGGAGGGCTTTTAGTATGGATAAATATCTACTATTCCAAAAACATTTTTTCTAGCGGCTTTTAGAATGAGAATTGAAAAAATAAATCTTGAAATGATAAAAATCAGTGGTCTTATTAAATTTATTATTATTAACATACAAATAATAATATATATTAATTATATTGCAATGTGTTATAATTAGTATAATTTTTATATATTTTTGAAATTTGTATTTTTGTTTGAATAATTATATTATAATTTCCCGTGCTTAAATAACTTCTAAATTAATATTTTCCCTTTGATTTTAAATAAATAATACTTTGAAGCTTATTTCGCAAATAAAATTAATACATGCTTATACATAATTACAATATTAATTAGTGTAAGTGCTTGGATAACATAAACTTATTACTTTTTTAAGTGAAAAACTATAAATAAATATAATTGAATATGATCAATATACATATATATATTTTGTAGTAATAACTTGTTATAACAATTAAAGCGTAAAAGTTATATAAATATACCTGATATTTGCATAAGTCATAATTAAGTAAGTACTTACATACATAATGCAATAAACGAGTTTATATGTATCTATGCATGTGTGTATGTGTATAGATGCTTCGCTGAAACGATCAACGCGTGCTCTTCAAATTCTTATTGTCCGCTAATATGTATGTGTACACAAGTAAATGTATGTGTGTCTATGCATGAGTACCATATACATTTAGTATATATAATGTATGATTTACATATGTGCTATATACTTTATTATGCTGTGGCCTTTCGAATTATGAGCGAAATAACAGTTTTCTATAATTTAATTTAAATATGTATGTGTTATATAATGTTATCCTTTTGCATATCCTTTAACTACGCGCAATACGAGTATATGCAGCATATAATACTATATTGCTTCGATGTGGTTGGTCTTTAGCGTTGCTGCTAGCATGAAGTCAGAGGCTTTCTTAACTGTATTTTTTGCTAATTTTTTAATATATGCACCGCTTTTGTTTTTGCTATTTGAAGCTATTTTACACATGGCTTGCTTATGTACTTATGATTTTCTATGTTTCTATGTATTTATCCATCATTATAGAAATTCATTACAAATCCTTTCATATATGTTTCTATGTTTGTATGTATATATAAGCCATAATACAAACATAGTAGAAATTCATTCCTTCGTTCTTCTGTTTTTTTCTATGTATTTTCTATGTATTTACCCACCACCATAAAAATACACTACAAATTCATATGCGTTTGTTTTTGACGAAATGGTGCTGTCATTACTAACCTTTTAAAACTCAGCTTGGTTATGTATGTATGTAGGTGTGTTTAAGCGCTTTTTAAGCATTACTTATGCTTTTTTTCCTAACTTCTTTCTACAATAGTACAGTTTTACTTGCTTTGCTATACATCTCTGTGTGTATGTAGGTTTGTATTTTGAATAATTTTGTATTATTTTTAAATTAATGCTTAATTCGAATCGGTATCCGAATCGCTTGGTGGCACTGGTGATGCCACAGGCTTAGGCGTTGGCTCCTCACGTATCGGACGCGTAGCTGCCAAATACGCGTTTGTAGATTCTCCGTGTGTCGTCTCGATGCCAACCCTAAAATAATGAACGAAAATTTAATGAAAATTCACAAGCAAGTTGAATTTTATTTTATTTTATATAGTGTAGTTCTTAATTGTACATATCTGACTGAATTTTCTAATATTTTCTAAACTATCTGATCATATTTCACCCGGACTGGTCCATTCGCATTCGTCTGGATTTAACCGCTTAAAAATATCTAAATCATTTCGTTTAGAAATGAAAATATGGTTCCCTGAATAGCTTTGTACGAGTATCAAAGTGTGACAAGCATTTCAAAACTCACTTATATTCATGGCGTGCCAAATAGCGTACATATTTCTCTGGCGGCTCATCGGAATCCGAATCTTGTACGCTCACCGAACGCACTGTTGTATGTGAGACTTGTGTCGCTGGCATTGTAAACTCAACGAAGGCGTAAGGGGCCAGCTCGCTGGGTATCTGATCGTAAGAAGTTAGCGCCATACGACAAACAAGCTGATGTGTAGTATAAGCACCTGGAGAGGAACAGAAAATCGAAACTTAACTACAATTTTCTCCCGAAAAAGTTAAAACCTTTGACAAACCTTGTCCTTCTTTTGGCAAACGTGGGCAGCGCCAGACGATAGCACGATGATGATGCTCGTATTTCGCCTGTCCAGAAGTGACCTCAATAAGTGACTCTTGCAGCGTATCGACAGCGCCTAGGATGCGCTCAATGCCTTTGATTTTACCGGTTCGTCTGTGAGCGGACTTAACGGAGCCATATCTGAAAGATTGTACCACAATTTTCATGTAATTTTGGTTGGTATTAATTTGTTTATACGTGTTATACTAGTAGTGTGTCTTACCTAAAATGTTTCTCTACGCGGAACAAGTAAATCCAACATTCCGGTATGGGAAACCGCACCGAGACATCTTCGCATGGTATCTGTCCCAATTTGCGCGATGTAAAGCCCGGAACCAGTATATCTGCACGCAACTCCACCTTATTACCAGTTACACACCACGTGGCCTTCAGTTGTAGTGGAAGTTCGCGATTTTTGGGTGGACGCACACGGAAACGTAGTAACTCTATATAATTCGCATCCGGTGGCTGGAACCTACATTTTTCGAAACCATATACATATATATGAAAACTAAACGAGTTTCTTTAATATGAAATCACTCACTTAATTGTACGCGTCTTCTCATACTCCTCCTGATTCACCACACTATGAAACTCTACAGCTTCCAAACGGATCCACTCTTCTGTGGCGACTGGTATGATGTCGTGTCGGCCCACCACTTCTTTGCCTTGACGCCACATATCATTCACACCCAACTCGATCGAGGGCATACCTAAAAATGGAAGCAATTACATTAGTCTAAAATAGCAGTTTCTTTTTTCTCTCTCTAATTTTTAGCTACCCGTTAGAAAAGCTAAAAAGAAAAGACGCACACGCGCTATTTGCTTCAAAATTTTTCCCTCATAATCCTGTTCCACAACGATTTCGTCGACCGCCGTTACTTGTACCTCCTCCATTTTATAAGTGAGCGCACGTTCACGCAACGCAGGCAATCGGAAGAGCGCCTCTTCAATACATATAGAGAACTGCTTCATATCCTCGTAGTTCATTGAGCCAATTTTAAATAGTTGCGACGACTGTGGTGCGTGTTCAACCGGTAAGCCCAGCTTCTTCAAATCACTACCGAACTCTTTCACACCTTCGTAATCACCCGCAATGGCATATTGTGCAAATTTCGTCAGCTTGTTTGTGATTCGTTCGGCTTTGGTTACTTGACCAGGTCGCACACCGGGACGCTCTTTATAGAAGATATACTGTAGCTTTATGGTAAATATTTTGCCAAACTGATCGTATTGTTGTGCTCCAATCTCCGAGACAGAGTATGAGGGCTGCAATGGCAATTCTTGGAATGGTTGTTTGTCTGTGATCTGATTAAGCAATTGCACTACGGGCACATCGTTCTGTATTACTAGGCGTACAAATATTTTCTTCCAGAATCTTTGGCCAGTTATCTTCTTTTTGTTCGGTTGCCGCAATTGCATTTCCCAGCCGGGGCCGACATAGTTCAGTCGCGGAAAATCTTCGAGTGGCTGCGAGACATCTTCATCGAACAACGGGGTTTGTGGTGTATCCTGTGAGTCTGTGCGTTTTACTTTGTTTTCTTCACTTATCGTTGGTGCCGGGAAACCAGTATCTTCGAAGGGATTGACAACAGGCGATGTGTCGCTGGAAACTTGACCGACAGCGCTACGCGCTGGTGGCGGCGGCGGTGCCAATTGTGGTGCAATTCCCTGTGTGCTTTCGCCTTTGGGCCGAATAACGACATTGAATTCCTTGTCTACGGACTCAACCGAATCGGCGCGAACAGGTGCTTTCATTGCGTAGAAGTCATCATCCTCATTCTCGAAACCATCGGTCACGCCAAAAACATTAGTTGCCGCTGCGGGTGAGCCAAATGCACTGTCACCCCAAGCTAAAAAAAAAAATAATTACAAAATTATATTTTACCATGACGCAAATGATAACATACCGTCACCGCCTGAAGGAGTCACAGCACCCGAACCACCAAAGCCATCCAGTATGCTTACATTATCCTTCTTAACAGAATCAAATTTGGCCGAGAAAGCGTCAAATTCATCTGGCTCGCTGGCAAAAATGTTATTAGCAGTGTATGAATTTGCTGTGATAGCCAAAGCTTCTGGTTCAAGATCCGGTGCAAAAATATTAACTGGCACAGCAGATGTTGTCATGGTGTCTGTTGCTGTAGTAAAGATGTTGGTCACAAGTGTAGGGTCAATATCTTCGACTGCAAATATATTCGTCACAGCAGATGGCGGTGGATAAGTCTCTTCTTCTTCGTCGGGACTAGCGAATGGATTTGCAGAGGCAGCGCCACTGGGAACAGCACTAGCCGGTGCGAAATCCAGACCCGTATCCATTTGCTCAAACTCACTATTCTGCTGTTCGCTAGTAGCCTCCAAAGATGACTGCGGCTGAGCCTGCGTGGTTGCTGGTGACTCCGTAGGAGGACTGTGATCAGAATCGATAGATGCAAAGACTGCGGGTTCTGCAGCCGCAGGTACAACCTCTTTTTCATCTTTCTCCACTTCTTCATCCTCTTCGTCGGGACTTGGCTTGGTTTCAATGACCACCGGTGGTGCTGGTTTTACTGGCTCTGGCTCATCTTCATCGTCAGAACGTGGAAGATCTTCTACAGTTGTTATTTCAATGTCCGGAGTTGGCGCACGTGGTTTAGTGTCATCGACTACCAGTTCTTTTCTTTCCACATTATTTATCAACGATATGTTTAGATCTGCTGCCTGTGGTTGAGATGTAATATCGTGTGTGCTGTCATCAGGTCGAGTTAGCATAGAACTGAAAATAGGATCCTCTCCATCTATATTCTGTTCGTCATCTGGCATTTCTGGGGAAGGCTCAAGTACAAGATCATCACTTAAAAGATCTGGTTTGGATACTGGTTGAGCTGGCTTTTCAAATAGACTAAGTATGTCTTCCTTGCTCTTTGGTGGTGGTGGTTTAGGTGGTTTGGATGTACCAAACATATCGAACAGATCTTCACTATCTGCTACCTCAGCAGCGGGCTGAGTAACTGGCTCTGGAGCTGGGGGAGTTGGTCGTGGAGGCGGTTGATTGCGTTGTGCTGGTATACCATTTGGTGGTGACGGCCTTGGTGGTACTGGACGTGGTGGTGGTGGTCGCGGAGGTTGCTGCTTTGCTGGTGATGGCATAGGTGTTGCACCATGTAAGCTAGGAATGGCTGTTGGCACACCGAAAGGATTATCTGCACTATTGTTAGTACCACTACCGACTAAATCCATATCGAATCCATGCATATTACCAGACGAACCACTATCTGATACGTCTAACAAGTCAGCCAAGCCAGAATCCGGTGTAGGACTGGGTGAATGTAAGTCACGCATTGAAACAGGACTGGGAGAACGAGTAGCAGGTATTCGGCCGAGTAACTCGGAGCTTGTCTCCTCCATTTGGTTAGAAACTGTATTAATGAGTTCTTGCGTTTGTGGTGGCACTGGTCTTGGTGGTGGACCTCGTTTAGAAGTTTCATCATCTTCTTCAACTGTAGACTTAATGCTAAGTGCATCATCCTCCGCCTCAATAGTTGTGCCAAAGAAGCTCATTGCAGGATCAATATCCGATGCAGGTGCTGGACCGTCATCAGGTTCATCGCCAAATGCAAATGGATTCGATTGTCCTGAGAAAGGATTCTCTGTTTCTACTACACCCTCTTCAGCATCGGCTTTTGTGAAGAAAGGGTTCGCTGTGGGGTCGGCGTCAACGCCCTCCAAGTCATCATCCATCAAAAATGGGTTTGCCATTATGGTTTATAGTAGTTTTATAATCAACCGGATTATTAAATTTAACGCTCAATTAATTCACTTTCCAATAACTTAATTTCGGTTGCGCCTGGTGCCAAATTCTCCGCAATTGAAGTATCAAACGGGTCAACTTCTTCGGGAAGTGTAATTTGTTTTACAGGTACCGAAGGTGTTAACACCTTGTCGCCTAGACCGAGTTCTTGTGCGTCTGTCTGTGTATCAAGCACACCAGTCGTGATTTGTGGAACTGTAGGAGGTAGCAATTCACTCTCCAAAAGTTTTAGCTCTGCTCTGCCTGGTTGCAAATTAGAAGCAATAGATGTGTCAAACGGGTCTATATACTCAACAGCGTCGTCTGTTAGATCTTTACTCTCTTGAGACGGCGTCAGTACCTTGGCCTTTATGTCTTCTTTTACTGCTAATAGCTCTTCTGCTGGTACAGGTGTGGGTGGCGCACGTGGATCGAAATCGGGATCGGATAGACTATGTTTTAGTGTGTTTTTTGTTAGTAAATCTTCTTCGAGATGCTTCAGTTCAACCTCACTGGGTTTTGCTTCTGGTACGTATGAGGTGTCGAATGGATCTTCTGCCTCCTTTTCACTAATTGTTTCTTTGGATCCAGTCGGTGCGTAATAAGGTGTCAATGGTTTCTTGTTACCGTGACCGTCATTCGCGGCACCGAGCAAATCTTGTGAAGATACCAAGAAGCCAACACTTTTTGATTGGATATTCAAACTTAGGGAAGACTTGCGTCGTGCAGTATCAAAATCAATAGTCGGATTATTATTTTGAATTTGCACAGGTGGTGCGGCCGGACGAGATGGCGCTACTACAACCCTTGTTGGAGTGGGTGCCGGCTCGTCTGCACGTGGATCAAAGTCTGGATCACTAAGTGAATGCTTAAGATTACTTTCAGGTAGGAGTTCACGCTCCAAGAACTTTAGTTCCGTCGCCTTGGGTTGAACGATTGCACTGACTGCAGAGGTATCGAACGGATCAAAATCAGCAGGGTCTTCCTCAACCTCCTGTGTAGGTGCTATGGGAGCGGGACCAACTTTAGACAAATCAGTAGCGCTGCCACCCAACAAATCACGGGTTGGTTGTGATAATAAGTTTACAGCTGGTGGTGGTGGTTTAACAGGCGGTGCAGATTTTTCTTCGGCACGTGGATCAAAGTCGTCGTCTTCTTCTAGTACGGTAGTCTTTTTGATGACTTGCTCAGCATATGCAGTATTGAATGGATCGTCAGCGGCGTAGTCTTCTTCGTCGTCACTTATGTATATGGCACCTGTAACTAAGTGCGGCCCAGAGGCAGGTCTAGCTGGTGGTGGAGGACGTGCTGGTTTAGCTAGAAATGTAAGTAGAATGTGTTTATGGAAAAATGGAAAATAAATTCTTTTAATTTTGTAAAATACCTTTGTCTTCACTTGTTGCTTCCTCTTCGGGTACTTGTTCAAATTCTGCCCAATCTGCGTCTACAACTTCCGAAAGTACTTCGGCTTGAGGAAGTGGTATCTGAGTTATAACTTTTACTTCTTCTTTTTTAGTTAACGATTCGGCTGCTAATTCAGCAAACTCATCATCATCATCGTCTTTAAGTGCATCGAATTCTGACAAATCCGGTAAACCGGTGTCGTTTTCCGCCTCCTCCTCCTCTTCTTCTTCTGGTTTTTTATGTTGTATCAAATGCAAATGTAATGAAACACTTAAATCTATTGGTGCATCTGACTGTGGTACATCATCCACAAGCTCGTCAAGTAAATTTTTCTGTGGTTCGGCAGCAACTATTTCAACTTCCTGATCGGCAAGATCAATACTCTCGCTCAGCAACAAGTTCTGTATACCTTTTCGTAGCTTACGCTTCGGTTTCGCAAGGGCAAGTGCGTGCTCACGATCGACACGTCCGGAGAGGACTTCAACCGCCGCACCAAGACTGACGAGTTTCTTATTACCTTTAGCCTTATCTGCGCCAACAATAACTTTTTCTGCATATGCTGTATCGAAAGGATCAGGACCGTCGTCAAATTCTAATACCGGCGACTCAGGTACAACAGCTAATTGTACTTCTCCTCTAGTTATCGCTTCTATATAGTCAGTAGCGAAGATGTCATCGACCTCCTCGTCTTGTTCCCCTTCCGATTCGGAGAGTTCAACTACAGCTTCGGCTAATTTGTCACGCTGTGCCTCAAATTCAGCTGCTTTACGACGTTCTTCTTCTAAACGTTCCGCTTCACGACGTGCAGCTTCTTCTTCTTCGAGTCGTTTTTTCTCTGCCGCTGACGGTAAACGTTGATAGAAAGACTCTTTCTTAATACGATCTAACTCGTCTTGAGTTTTATGTAAAATAGAATCGACTCCCGATGTAAGCGCCTTAAACTTGGCCCACTCTTCGTTCTGTTCGGCACTCTTTGTAGCTGCGGCAGGCGCTGCGCCGCCGTTAGCGCTAGTATCCGCGTTAGACTCAGTTGTTTCAGTATGCGCAGGAGCTGTGGTGGAAGTGGATGCTGCAGTTGGTGCTAAACCCTCAACGTCTGATGCTGCGTCCGATTCACCAGCGTCCGATTTAGCAGCTGCTGCCTCCTGCTTAGCTTTTAACTCGCGCTTATATTGTTCGAGCTCCTCTTCAGTGAAGAGTTCTTGGTCCTTTTTCGACTTCTTCTTTTTCTTTTTTAAGCCTTTTGGTAACTTAAGCATTCTCTAATTGCGGAGACATCGATATCGGTCTGTAAAATGAGAAGTATATAAATGTTTAAGAATTGATTTCTCAAACCTTTTTATTTAAACTCATTATTGCGATTATATGTATGGTTATATTACTGATGAGTAAAAAAAAGCACTTGATTTTTATGTAATAAAATTGCAAAGCAGTATGAAATATTTCAAATCCAAAGTCATATAGAACTGCATGTAGAATTGCTAATACCAATAAAAATAGAAACATTTTATGATCCATAAAGTATACAGAGTATCCCTTATCAGGAAAATATTTATGATAAAAAATAACGTAACCTATGTATGTAAAAAAGTTTCCTCTTCTCATTGACAACTCGGTAGTCAACATCGCGTACTCGAAGAGATTTTTTGCATTTAAACCGGGAGAGGCTTAGTACACATAATTATAGGATTGGATAGCTTTAAACAAATACTGGCAACACGGCTAACGATCATATGGCCGGTGACCGATACATGGATCTTTTTATGACCTACCATTTAAATACGATTTTTTGGAAAATTTGGAATACTTTTATAATGTTGCATTATAGACCAAAGGCCAATAACGCATATCCCATTACAACTTTAAGAAGGAAATATTGTTTTCGGAATTCAGTTACCTACTCAAAGTCCTAGAAAGTTTCAAAATAGCTATATTATACACAATGCAGCTATATTCACTGTAATAGCTTTGAAATTCTAGCAATCAATTTAAAAATCATACAAGAAAAATAAGAAGAGCATCTGCCTAACAGACTATATTTCAATAACCATAATTCCGGTTTTAATATACAATACAAGAACTGCTATCTATTTGCCGGTTTCTTAGCTCTCTTCAAGCACATGAAAATTTAATAATATCCCAAGTACTTTTTTGATACTGAAGAACATTTGCTCTAAATGAAATTACATGCGTAATAACTTGGCTAAGGTTGAAAAAGCAGAGTAATATTTCAGAGTTTATATCTTTAAAGGTCCCGTTTAAATCCCATAAAGTACACTGCAAGTTCTGAAAAAAGTGGACTAGTTGAAATATTTCCTCAGCAATCAGGGAACATACGCCAATTAAGTTACATTGGTATCAGTATAAACACTGTTCCCATCCATCGTTGCCGTATGCAGTTGCTGAAAACACCGAGAGCACTGCCAGTCTAGAAAAATTCAAAGCCGATATTAGCACCAAATAAATGAAAATTTCTTGATGAAAACATCAGCAACAGAGACTCGTATACTTTAAGAACTGTATCCAAAGGAAACGTTAGTTTAGCGTAACGTTTCCTTTGGATACAGTTCTTAAAGTATACGAGGTGTGTTCAGAAAATAACGGGAGTTTTAAAATTAAAAATTTCGCAGATTTGGAGAATAATTTGAAGTACGATAAAATTCTGCATTCACTGCTTAGTTTGTCTGTACCAGCCGCAAACGTTAGACGTGTTTTCATGAGTTTGGCGTTTTTCGTTTATTAAAAATCCACACTTCGCTCATGGTTCTTAAATTCTTGACCCAAAAAAATACAGTAATTTTTTTCTATTTCCAAATACAAAGAGAGCTTTAAAGAGCCGTCGTTTTACAAGCATAGGTGAAAATCACTGAAACAGCTAAAGGCTATCCCAAAAATCGGGTTTGAAAAGTGTTTCGACGATTGGAATATCGAATGAAAACTATTTTGAAGGCGAAAAGATTAATGTAAACGAAGGAATAAATTTTTTTTTTTCAAAATAGGAAAGTTGCTGTAATTTTATGAATGTTAATAAAAATATCGAAGTAAAACTCTGCATATATAAGATATGCGGCAACTCTCTTTCAAAAATCGAACCATTCCAGTCCCTACATAACCAGAATATTGATTTTGGACTGTCTCTTTGACTCATTAGGTCAGAGATTTATGTACAAGTCTTTAACATAAATTGAGCTGTTAATAGAATGGGGCTCAGTCGACCCATAACTTCGTCTGATGATCCAAAATTTGCCGTGGCTACGATATTTTTCACACTCCGTACACTCGTACAATTTTCCTTTCTATTAAAGTTCGGATGTGCACGAATTGATCACTGTATAATGCGTATTGAACTCTATGTTCACATAACTGCTATGTATTAACGTCTACGAATATATGATATGCAAGTAAATTGCTATATATACATGTATGTATGTATTTATGTATGGTATATATGTATGTGTATATATCAATTGATATATGTATTATATATCAAATAAAATCATTCGAAACTATGCTGTGAGCTCAAATCTATGCATTTGTATTGAGAATGTTTGTAAGTACATTTACGTGTAAGAAAGAAACAAAGAAAACTTAAGTAATCGCAAGCTGACCTTGAACTATTATTGACTTTAGCTCATCTGAAACTGGCTAACTACACAAATTTATATGGCATTGGATAACAGATTTAACGTTTTTACATAAATTATTAATTACAAATGCGCCTATGTACATATGTATATACATGAATATATATGTATATAATAAATATGTCTGTAGAAAAGCTTTGTCAAATTCCCAAGCAATTTTTGGGCATAAATATATATATTCTTATATTTTCATACGCAGAGTAGCAAACACACATAGATTTTTACAAGCATATACAAAGGTAAATATATTTACATACATACATATGTACATAAGTAAGCACATCAAGGATTAAATTAAAGCCTTCCGCTATTTATATTTTTAGTTTGTTTATACTAGTATACCGTTAGAATAACTTTATAACTCACCATTTGCGTTGACCTCACACCCACATGTTCACTTCACTTATTTCTCTTTCAAATAAATTCAATTTTTCGGCTTTTTCAGCTGATTTTTAGTATTTCTTTTTTATAATTTTTGTTGTTTTTTTTTCAATATACTCTTTTCTTTTTACTGTTTGCCTACAAACACCAACACATATACGCGGCAGTGGTAAAGCTCTATGCTTTCTCCAAATTCTTACAAAATTCACCACAGTGCACTCTTAGTTAAGTTCACCGCAATCACTGCGTGCCACCAACACCACTAGCATTGCCCAGCAATATTGCAAGGAGAATACAACATATACAGAAAATAAGTATGTATGTAACTAGTTGGGCGAATAAGAAGAAGAAGGTGTTAAAAAAAAGCGACGGACACAAATGAAACTCGTTACTCGGTTGGGTACATGGAAATCTATATTCGGGATATGCTGCAGCCCACGGCTGAGGGGAATAATCGATTTTTACAGTAACACACACACACACAAGCACACACAAAGACACTGCTACTGCTGCAAAGGGATGTGTAAGGATTTTTCTTGCATTCAATAAAGATTTTCTATTGAATTTTTAACGGGATTAGGAATGGGCAATACAAACGGCAATTTATCAAAAATAAGGTCAAAGAAAATTATTACAGTTATGCTAACGCTATTAGGATATAAAAATTATGTGTGGTTGTGAGCATGTAGAAAAAAAAGAATCAAGAAAAAAATGTATTCTTCCACAGAAAAGTTCTTCAAACGTTTCAAAGTTTTCTTGTTCGCTTCAACTTTGAAGGAAATTGTTCAACTTACGTCTCTCTGCGCTTAGTGATAAAGTGAATTGTAATAAAATGTTTTCGGTTGGTTTGCTTTGCTTTTGTTTTCAAATATGAGTGAAATAAAATTGAATTTTACACTTTTTTCACATTGACTTTAAAACACGTCTCGACCGAGCTTATTGCAGTGCACGCAATATTGGAAAATCTTTGACTGAATGACGAGTGAAATCGCAAAATTTCATACGCACGACCGTGTGCTTTTGGCAAGCCAACGAGTCGAGCTTTTTTTGCATGTAACCGTAGAAAGCTTGACCGCTATCGTTAATCCAAAATATATCAAGTGATACATTTTCATAGACACTTTGAAATCGATTTTTAAGCGCCTAATATATTATGTCTTTAGACACCCGACTATTTTTGCATGTCCTATATTTACGCCTAAAAGCGTGCTTCTCCGCAATTTTGCTTTAAAAATGCAAGCTTCGAGTTGGTGGTGAGTTAACAGCGTTTAAATAAAAGTCGCTTTTATGAAAATTGACAGCTGTCATTTGTTGAATTACGTAAATATGATAATGTTGCAGCGCGCAGTCGCATATATTAAGCTGCGGAGCATGGAGTTATGCTCAGTGCATGCTCTCTTCCTGTTTGACATTCGACGAAACAACAAACAAAAACAAATCAGCGTTGGTATTTTGACACTTTGCAAGCTGCACTGTAAATTATCATTGACCAAGTTATAGATTCAAATTTTTGTTTTTTTTTTTTTTTGTAAAGGAGAAATAATATTTTAATGTTTAGTCAAAGGAATGTACAAATTTTAAAATTATCTTAGCATTTCATTGCATTAAGATCCTATATATAGGTCTATATTTAACCATTTATACTGAGAGCAAAAAAAAGGAAACGAATTTCTCTCTTTTAGACTCAATTTATTAAGTGTTTAAAATTTTTGTATATAAACATTCATACCAAATAGCGGTTCTTAGCCGATCTTTGGGATCACCTCACAGTTAGTGTTACACCGTTTTCTTCAAAGAAGTATGGCTTGACAATACACCTTGATTTAACTGCACACCACACAGTGACTCGTTCTGGGTGAATTTCCGTCTCGTGGATTGTTTCTGGATTTTACTTACTCCATTCACGGCAATTTTGCTTGTTTACATTTCCGTTTAGGTCAAAATAGGCCTCACCAGACATAAACAGGCAATTTATCAAGTTATTGTCTCCCTCGGCCATTTCAATAATTTTTTGGCGAAATTCCAGGCGAATAGGCAAATCTAAAAGATTTAACCGGCTTGTTATTTGAACTTTGTACGAAAGCAAGTTTATTCAACACGAACTATCCGTTTTAATTACTGTCTGCTAACTCCAAATTGCGCCGATAAGTTACGAGTCGGAACTCTTTGATTTGCCTGAATTGACGATGCAACTGCCGCGATTGTTTCTTGAATCGAACATTCGGATCTCGATGGTATCAATGGTAACCTTATAATGGTTCATCTAATCAGGGGAGTGCCGCCAAAATCCCGTCTGAATTCCTTTTGGACGAAAATGACGGACTGCAGAGCATGGTACCGCTGCACTATACAAACCCTCTTTTCGATATCCCAAGCATTCATTTTTAAAAAACTTAAATAATAAACTACCAAATAAAACAAAGTTAGTCGATTACCCACAAAGAAAAAAAAACTATTACGGTTTGTTTTCGTAGCTCGATTAGTGAGCCACTCTGCACAATACACCGTCAACAGAAAGAGGGCCCAACAGCTTTACGTGCAATATTTAGAGCTTAGGAATAAGTTTGAATCGATTTAAATGGTTTTCACATAACTTTTTGAAATTCACTTGTTTTATCGAAGGAATAAATATTTAATAGTAATTTTTATTAGATAAGTCAGTCTGTCTTTTTTTTTACAAAAGAAACTACTTTTTTTTTAATTTTGTCCAGCCCTTCGATCAATACCTGTATTTATTTATTGTAATAACAATTTGTTTTTTGTTTTTAGATTTGTGATAATATTAAGTAGAAAGAGATCCTCCTCACCGCCAGAGACCATTTTTCGGAGGTCCTCCTGGAGATCATTATTTTTATTTGATTTTTAAATAAAATGTCTCTTTAAAAAAAATTTCCGACTATTCGAAAACGTTGTCATAAGTTGAAAAAAGATATGTGAAAAGCTATTACTAATTATGACGAACATGTTAACTATGATTAACCAACATTTTCGATTCATATAAGCCACCAGAATTATTAATTATGAATACTTTAAACGAACTACATGAAAAATAGTGAGACTCCCGTCTCTTAAAATACCTTGTATATACTTATATGATAATGCCAAACTTACGTGTCAATGACAATATGTTTTAAACCTGTCATTTCCATTAAAAGTAAATAAATATATCCCTTGATATATCCTTGTTTTGAAACAAAATACCATAGAAAAAAATTATCGATTTAAGTACAATACTAAAAGTGTTTATTCAAAATCATTTTGTGTAAAATTTTAAGTGGGAAATGTCTTACAAAGGCAATTTATGAAGGCACATACTGTTTGTTCTAAATATATTATACTCTTATACTATTAACTAGGGACTGTTTCAAATGAAAAATTTATTAAAACCGTCTTCGAATCGCCACTGCTCGGCTCGCTATTTTTGTGCTCTACTCTCTTGTCAACGAAATTTGTATGTGAAAGTGATAATACAATTTGTTGTTTTGAATTCACAAAGGACAATATATTGTTAGCGTCTCTCTTTTGTATCTCTTTCTGATATGTATAAGTATTTCACATTTATACGAGTTGTTTGTTCGATTCGCTGTTCTTTAGAGTTTGGCAAATCGAAGACAGCTTAATATACACATAGGTATAATAATTTATATATTGTAGAAATAGCTTTTATAATACAACAGCACTTTTCTTTGTTATAACTACTTAAGTGTATGAAAACGGCTAATTTAAGGCTGAAAATACATACACTAAGTTTATACATATAGATTAATTCATTTTTTTCTCAATATTAAAAATTAATTTTAGCCTCAAAACGACACTGATCACCCATCCACCACTTCTCGATATTCGTATATGTTTGTGTTTTCTGCATAAAAGGCACACTGCGCAACTTCGCACAGAGGTCACAGAAAGGTGAACGATAACTCAGACGATAATACTGTCGCCACCAGAAGTAACGCATATACTCATCCGGATGCGTGGCTACATAACGAAGATATGCAGCAAGTTCTGCAGCGCTTTCGAAATCTTCAGCATCTATCACAGAGTGCGGTGGCACGAAGCGACTGTAATCAGCACCACCAAATACGACCGGTATCACATAGCGTTGCATCGCATTATAAAGCTTCTCGGTCACATAGTCATTGCACAACGAATTCTCAAAGGAAAAATAGAATTTATAACTTTTATCCAATAGTTCATCACATTTATTTGAATTGTGGAGGCAACTGCAAATAGAAAACTTTGTCAATAACTTAATAATTACTCATTTCAAAACTCATATAACCAAATATAAATACGAGTATTTTAGAAATAGACATTTAAACTATTTGTATAATTTAATTTTTTCTTTAGATGGCAACTCTGGTCAAATTATTTTTGTGGCGAAGGGCTGTTTAATATATTATTCGGACACCGTCTATTGTTTATATAATATATTAAGTAAATTTTTTTTTATCAGACAGTGGGTTTACCCTTCAAAAATATTCAAAATAAACTGCAATACTCTCCCTGTTTCGATAAAGTTGTCTTGAAATTGGATTCAGTGATTTAGGAATATGTAAGGGTTTTATGTGCTTTGCGATAACTAATTGGTACGGAGGTCCAATCACAGATGAGTAGTTCCTACACGAAAAGCTGTTCGGGAACATTTATTAAACTCGTACAGTCAATATAAAGACGAATTCGAGACCTCCATGTGAGGTATAAAGTTAGAAATATTTCTTTTTTATTTATTAGGAGGAAGAAAATTCGTTAAATTAAAATAAAATAGGTCATTACCTAAGAAATTTCCACAGGATCAGGAGACTATGATGAATCATTATATAGTTAAAAAAATATATACATATATATTTGGATGGAGCGTAAAAAAAATTTTTTTTTTGCTTAGCCTGAGAAAAAGAAGAAAATTTTTGGAAAAAAAACTTTTAAAGTAAATTTCGAGTTAAATTTTTATTTCGTAAAAATATGTTGATAAGTGTTGTAGAAGCTGTGGAAAGTCCTCTTTCTGGCCAATTAAAAGTTATCAACTTAAAAAATTTTGGTGGTCATTATTGGAGTTTTAAAAAAAGTCTTAAACGACAATATGCTTTCTTTAAGCGTTAAAATAAAGTCAAAAACCGTCAATTTCGGTAATTTTTTATATAAATGTGAAGAGTTTAAACAAAAAAAAAATTTTAACTCGAAATTTGCTTTAAAAGTGAGATGTCTTCTAGATGTTAAAAGTTTTTTTGTCCAAAAATTTTCTTTTTTATAATCTACAAAATTTACACTTAGGTTAAGCAAAAAAAATACAATATATATGTACATATACAATGAGAGTGATATGATTTTTTTTTTTTAAACACACTATATAATTGTTAAGGAAATTCAATTAAGTTCTGAATATAACATCATGCAGATGGCCTCCACGACTTCTTTTGCAGTACCGAATTCGATGAACCCAATTTTCGAGTACTTTTGCCGCTAAATCAAGTCGTATGTATAGCACGTTCGATATTCACTTCCAAAGCTTGAAGAGTATCTTGTTTATTGCTAAAACCCAATGACTTCAAATAACCCCACAAGAAGAAGTATAATGGTGTTTAATTACAACTTCATTGAGGCCATTCAATGTCACAATTTCTTTAATTTATCGAATCTCCAAACTTTTCTCGCAATAATTCTGTTGTTGCAAGTGCTGTCTGGCACGTGGCTCCGTCTTTTTGGAACCAGATATTGTCAAAATCAACGTCTTCCAATTGCGGCCATAAAAATTTGGTTATCATCGATCCATACCGCTCTCCATTGATTGTAACGGTATCACCAGCTTCATTTCGAAAGAAGGATGGACCGATGATTCCAACAGACCAAAAACCACATCAAACTGTCAATTTAGGTGAATGTAATCGATAGTTTTATTTATTTACTACACTACTCTGATGAAAGTGAGTTTCATCGGAGAAGATGATTTTCTTAAAAAAATCGGTATCGTTTTCAAGTTGTTCTCAGGTAAAATCAGCTAATAGACGTTTATGGTGGTCCGATGGCTTCAGTTCTTTAGTGAGAACAATTGCATACTGATACAAGCCCATATCCTTTCTCAAAATCCGCCATCTTGAAAACGTCTTGGAATCAACAAATTTCGTTCTTCAGCAACACTTGCCTGAACGGCAGCAATATTTTGTCTTATTGGCACTTGAAGATGATGTACGCTCGAAATTTTCGACAATTTAACGAATAGCGAGCACAGGTGGATGATTATTACAACCATAAAATGGCAAAACCGCACGAAAATTTTCAATTGATAATAAAATTTAATATTTTGGAAACGCTGTCCTTGTGTATATTTTTCCATGTTGAAATTGAAACCACTACTGAATACAATAAAAAAAATTACAGATCATGACATATTAAAAATGGCCGAAACGACACTTAGAAAGGATATCATACCTATGGGAAAACCCGATATATAGTGTACTTGTATATCAAAATTCAATACGCTCGCAGTAAGCATAACCCTACAATATTGCAGATATTGCTATCATTTCGATTGATTTAGATTATTTACTGAAATATGTGGATCTTTAAGAAAATGCAGGATGCCACATGTTTGTAATTTTAAAATAAAATGTTATAGTAGAAAAGAAAAAACTCACTCAAATTAAGGACTTTTAAAGTCTTTTGCTGTTGCAAATCATTTTGTAGAGGGTTGCCACCGGTTTATACAAATTTATTTCAGCAAAACTTATTGAATAATGGGATTATTACTAGTATGGAGCTAAAATGGTCTAAGAAACTTTACAGCTACAAAAACTATTTTTAGAGAGGTTGCCACATGTTTCAATATTTCTATGGAAATAAATTACTACAACTGATGGAATATAACAACATGGACAACAAACAAAAAAGTTTTGAGCAAATTTTAAGTCGGAAATATACATATGTGAAAAGGGCTGCCACCTTTTTATACGCTCGCAACCTGTTGCTACAGAGTATAATAGTTTTGTTCACCTAACGGTTGTTTGTATCACCTAAAACTAATCGAGTTAGATATAGGGTTATATATATATAAATGATCAGGATGAAGAGACGAGTTGAAATCCGGGTGACTGTCTGTCCGTCCGTCCGTCTGTCCGTCCGTGCAAGCTCTAACTTGAGTAAAAATTGAGATATCTTTATTAAACTTGGTAGACATGTTTCTTGGTACCGTGAGACGGTTGATATTGCAGATGGGCGTAATCGGACCACTGCCACGCCCACAAAACGCCATTAATCAAAAACAAATAAATTGCCATAACTAAGCTCCGCAACAAGATACAAGACTCTTACTTGGTACACAAGATCACATTAGGGAGGGGCATCTGCAGTTAAAATTTTTTTTAAAGTTGGGGTGGTCCCGCCCCTAATAGGTTTAATGTGCATATCTCCTAAGCCGCTAAAACTATAATAACAAAATTCCCTGGAAGCAAATGCTTTTAGAACTTCTATTGACGGTGTGAAAATAGTTGAAATCGGGTGGCAACTCCGCCCACTCCCCATATAACGGTAAAAACGGTGTTAAAAACTACTAAAAGCGCGATAAATCAAGCACTAAACACGCCAGAGACACTAAATTGTATCTCTGGGATGGTATGAGATGACTTTATAGGAACCGCGTTCAAAATTAGTCAGTGGGCGTGGCACCGCCCGCTTTTAGGTGAAAACCCATATCTTGGGATCTGCTAAACCGATTTCAACCAAGTTTAATACGCAACATTCTCTTTTTATTTCCATGTTATAGTGCAAAAATGGTCGAAATCGGATTACAACCACGCCTATTTCCCATATAACACCATTTTCAATTTAATCTGATTCTGTCACTTTCCACTATGCATATCAAGCAAAAATTATTGTATGTAACTGTTCAAGCCCCTAGGTAATGAATATGTGGACCCCAGTGCGTATAACTGACTTTTTACCGAAAATATCGGTCACAATAGAATAAAGTGGCAAAATCCGCAAAGAAATCTAAAACGAGTATACCATTTGACTTTGCGAGAGTATAAAATGTTCGGTTACATCCGAACTCAGCCCTTCCTTACTTCTTTTAAATAGTTTTTAACAAATTGATGAAATATTGCAGTAAGGACAACGAACTAAAATAGGCTTGAAACGATACACATTTATGTCTAAGATATTTTTTGAAGTGTTGCCACTTCCTTGTAATAGGAACAGTCTTAAGTACAATACTCTTCATTTATTACAAAGGTACTAACCTAACTAAAAGCTGCTGATTTTAATGAATAAAACCTATTTTTGAATAAATATAATATTATTAGGGTTGCGTACACATATCTTTGGTGTATTCAATATTTGCGACACACTTGGAAAAATTTCACTTTTTCGCAAATAATTCTACGTAAACTTGTTTTTATCTATGAGTTTCTGTTGTTTGCAGTTATTACTGTATACCAAACATCACGATTCCACAACCGCACCTGATGACTGCAATAGCTTGTTTAATCTTATCAAGCGTACGATAAATATGAATTATTACCGCTATGACAGTTATGAATATTTCATAGCGTTCAAAAAAACTCGACAAACGTGTTGTAAATTTCGTATTTATGAAATATAGCTATTATTATTATTATTATTATCTATATTATCTTATCTGATTTATACTATTTCTACCTAATTACATAAGTAATAATATAGCGCTTGAAAAAAGTTCGCTGCGCTCTCTTTTCGATTTGTTATATAGATCGCAGCGTTAATCTACAAAGTTCCTATGCTCCAAACGGACTGATTCACCTAAATATTTGACCGAAAGTGGCAACTTTCCTGTGCCAACAAGCTGTCCATCATTTAACACACTGTAGTCTTAGTCTTCCCAATTTTGGTGTAAGCAACTCACCTGAAATTGCCGCATTTCCCATAAATATCCACGGGAATGTGCTCCTGTAATGCCGCTGCCAATTTTTCCCGTTTCGACAACGTCTCACAATGCGATACAAACCAAGCGGCCATTCGAGTTTTACCCTCCCATAACTGCGTAACGTTCGTGTCATTCCACACGGTTGGCACCTGTCGCCACTTGGGCTGAATCGCCGGCGCCACTACTGCGCCAGTTTCCTTATCTTCGATTATTTGATAGGGCCACAGCAAATCCGAATCGAGCCGATAGCTCATGGTCAAATTGTAGAAGCCACCCTCGTCGGAGAGTACATGTTTAGTCTCGCCCGGCGGTTCCATTAAGGCAAACACGTAAAGCTGATGCGGCGCACGTACGCGGGGCACGGAATGCAATAGAGGAAACGGTTCGGCCGCATGGAAGAGCACTGCGTCGTACATTTCAATTGCGGGCAAAAAGTCCCGGTTATTCGTCAAATCACAACGGTACACTGGACAATTCAATTTATCGCGAAAGTAATCTGGGCCAAGCGTATCCTCATCGAAACCCCAACGTTTGTTTTTAAAAAAACTATTCCAAAAAAGTATAGTACGCGGTCGACCCGCGTCGACAGCTGTTGCTTCATTTTGAATTTGTTGCTGATAGGCGCGTAATATTCTGTACTGATTAAATTCGGGCGCAATACTTAGCAAATGTACAATACCCAGAAAACTGGCACAGATCACAAGAATCACGAGCAGTATTGTGCACTTTTTACGTTTGTACATCGTGTCCTTCGTTGCGTACGCGACGTTTTCAACTGCGTTCGTTTCCTCATCGCCACGACGCTCGAGCAGCGAAGCGTTAATGGACGCACGTTCAGTATAACGCATGGCGATGCCAACAAATGTGTACGTGCTCAATTCAATCACCGATTGGTCACCCAAAAATTTTTTTTATATCTCTAAGTAGATTTGTAGTATCGATAATAGTTCCCCGATTAGCTCACTTCTTTCCGCGCAATGTTCACACTTCAGTCCATCGCTGAGTTGTATATTTGATTAGATAAGCATGTGCCGGTGACGCTAATAAATACATACATAGAAGATAATAGACAAAATAGTTAATCATTAGTAGATACTCAAAGTAAACAATCGCAATGTTTGTATGTACTTATGTAGTTATAAGCAAGAAATGGGTCTAGCTTGTACCTGTAAATATATAGTCACAATTTCTGGCATTGGTAAATATTTACACACATGTATGTACATGTGTTTTGTACAGCACTACCTCATAGTAAATCACACTACGTAGAAGAGGGTAGAAGGGAAAAAGAAATGCAGGAAATACTTTTGTTTTGAGGCACATCTAGTGTGAAATTAAGAATTTTTTGTTTTCACATATTACGATAGCCCACTTATGCCTTTCAAAATAACATACTAAACTTTTAAATTAATATTGCAAATAGTTTTGAGTTACATACGAGTACTGCGAAAGTATAGCCGCTCAGTTCAATCAGCTTATTTAGATTATTACAGTTGTAATTCGAAGACAAATCATCCGATCACTTTGATTTTTTCAGTTTTTCTTGTGTATGAAAACTGTAATTTTGGCGGACTTTTTTTTTAAAGTCTTATAAGTATATTCTGACAATTTGTATAACATTTCATGCAGCAGTTTTCTTTAAAAAACTAGACACATACATTGTAACTCTGATCCAAGCCTTATTAGATTGGCCTAGTAATTAAGAAGGAGGACAATTACGGCCCATTCACATACAACACACTCATACAAAAGTATACATCGAACTTTTCTGTCAAAGCAAATATCTCACGCAAAGCGAAGCAAAAGTTCTATGTGAATTAGTCATTACTCGTTCATAATCGTTAAAAATTTGCCAAAGTTAACCAAAAGTGTCCGAGGTACGAGAAAATTAGCCGTTTGCGCACAGCTGCCACAAACCAGCTGTTAAATTTTGTTGTTGTATTTTGACAATTAGTTGTCAAAAGTACTCCATAACTGAAAAAATATAAGATCTACAACATTGCCATATAACGTTTTTCTATAAGACTCGTAATTTTGCCGGAAATCGAGATAAACCGTTTCTAACACTTAAAAATTCATCCACACCGCTCCTCTTGGCCTTCCCGACCTCAGTTCGCCCGTAAATTATTTTTACTTTAATTTTTGCTATTTTATCCTTCGTTTCTGATGGTATTCAACCTGCTATGAATTTCTTTATTTGTTTATCATTTTCAAACGCTTCTGCACTAGTCTATTTAAAGACCAGGGTAGATAATTTAAAGCAAAAAAATTATTTTCTATATAAAAATGAAACGCTATTTCGTTAAGTACCCGCAGAAGATCCGAACCACAGCACGGAAAGACATGAAATTTTGCACAGTTATTCGTCTATTCCTATAGAAGGTCCTAACGGAGGACTTTTTGACAAAATCACGGCATGTGACGCGTCCTCTTCTGTTCTTCGCCTGCACCGTTATAGACTATAACTACTATATATAATACATTCGATAAGTTATAGCACATAGCACATTACAATCGATTCGATCGAAATTCAGGTTTTGACAATTTTTACACTTGAGATGGCACCTCTAAACGGCACTATTTTTGCAAAGTTTTCATCCGAAAAGTAGGCGTGATTATAGACCGAACTCGCATACCCTGTTATGGAAATATCAGAATAATGTTATAAACCTGATTTCCGTGAAATTGGTCAAGTAGCTTAGAAAAAATAGACTTAACGGGTATTTCAATAGAACGGACAGACCTCGCCCCGTCATCCTGAGTGTTTATATATATATCTCCATATTTATTTCGATTAGTTTTAGGTTATAAAAACAACCGTTAGGTGAACAAAACTATTATATGTGTATAAAAAGGGCATAGCAGGGCACGCCGGGTACAGCTAACTAATAAAAATTACAAAAAAAAATAATGTAAGTGTTTGGGTTTTTAATTTTTTTCTTGTACAACAAATTTTTTCTTTCACGAAATTTGGAATGAACTTACCTTTCGTGACGCAAACACACTGCAGTTTTTTTGATTTAAAATATTTATTTTTACACCCAGAACAGGGTAAATAAAGTTTTTTAAGTAAAGAGATCCCCCAAAAAATATATATCTAAATCTTAAATTTAGCAATGTTCATCTGTCTGTCTGTATATGCGCGAACTAGTTCCTCAGTTGTTGAAATAATATAAATACCGGAAATTTAGAACACGTGCTTTTCTCATTAAGAAGCTGCTCATTTGTCGGAACGGTTGATATCGGAGCACTATAACATATAGCTGCCATACAAACAGAACAATCGGATTCAAGTGCTTGTATGGAAAACTTTTTCATCTGGTGAGATATCTTCCCGAAATTTGACATGGTTTACTTTCTAGGGCAGAGGTGCTAACCCCGGAGAAATTGTTCATATCGGATAACTTTAGCATATAGCTGCCATACAGACAAAACGGTCCGAATCAATTTCTTGTTAGGAACCTTTAGTGTTTGTGAAGGGTATTATATCTTCGGTACAACCAAAGTTAACGTTTTTTCTTGTTTCACCTTTATTTTGACTTAATATCAAAAAACGATCCTAATTTTCAATCGAAATTTTAAGATCACCCGTAAATTATTTTACCTTTCACTTTTGTTATTTTTTCTTTCCTTTCCTATGGGTTTCAACTTACTATGAATTTCTTTTACTTTTAACCATAGTGAAAGGTTTCTGCACTGGCGTATAAGATGTTTCGGTGACTGAAATCAATGTGTTAGTAGTAAAGGTTGCACGTAGTACTTAAGAGCACTATCTAATAGAGAAGACAGTTTCTTGACAGATCCGTATATTATAACCAAAATTAGTCGAGAGATATCTTAGCATTAGCCAACTGGAAACCAAATGAACGACAACACGCTAAAGATTTCAGAATACATATACATAAGTATTACACAAATTATTATGAAATTATAATATTATATATTCCATATGTCTCTTCATCCTGCTAAATGCTTGACCTTAACTAAGAACGTATGGTAGTGTAGCTAATTGGAAGAGGAATAGTAACTCCACTCTCCATACAAGTTAAATATAGACTCTTACAAGAATGCTAGAAACAAGATTGCTTGACGTAATAAATTTAAGAATGGGAAATGGCAACATAGAAAACTGTCAAATGGCCTGTAAATTATAAAAATTTTCTTTGTTGCCCTTCCCAATACTACTCTGTGTCCCTTGGGCAATAATGTAAGTCATAGACAAGAACTTGATTTTGACCGGTATGTTTCTAAAGCTTATTCTATAATGTTTTTCCATAATACAATAATTAAAATATATGCATGTAAATCTAGATGGAAGAGAAAGAATGTAATTAGAGGGTGTGTAACCGTTTTTCAAAATATGAGTAATAATGATTAATGACGGTTCAACTGAATGTAGTGTAAATAGTTCTAACACATTATTTTTAGCCATACTACAACAGCAGCGAACAAACTCATACTCAGTTATAGCGAAGCACCACAAATTTCACGGCGTGTTGACCAAAAATATAAATATAGACACCTGTTCTATATATGAAGATTAATAAGTACTGCGTACATTGAAATATTTCACGTGAGTATATACAGGAATTGTTCGCATATTAGAAATGGTATTTGAAAGAAAATATTGCATATGACGCCATTCTTTGACAAACGAGTGATGAAACAATACGCCATTCCTAAGAATCACCAAGACAAACTCAGTTAATTTCCTCAAGGGGATGTTAAGACGAGCTGCGCGTTCTTTTGTCACTCGCTTAGAAAAACAACAGCATTATTAAGATGTACTCGTATTCGACCGTCCGATGTATACTTTATTTTGACGTCAATTACCAATTGTTGAAGAATTTGTATTTTTACTAATACTTTTTAAACTATTTATTCTATTTATTATGGAAGGTTCGATATCTGTAAGAAAAGATATACTTAGGTCCCTCAAATGGAACACAGAAATGAGCAATAAAATGATTTAAGCCCTTTTATCAAACTTTTTGTCAGTTTAGTTGAACTGAAGTTATGTACTGAGTTCTAGAGATAGCTGAGTTAACTTTTAATAATAATAATAAATAGTTATTATTTCGATGAATGCCAGCTGTTTGTTCGATTCCCAACTATACATATTTGACAAGTCGCTTTTTGTTACAATTATGATAATTACCTATTCATTCAGAAGTAAAATACTCTTGCAATAAACAACATCCGATGAGGCGATTATTGAATGTTCGAGATAAAGATTCTGCGTCTATGGACGTTTTAGAGTTAGCAGAGACGAATATGAAATGAAACCCAGCAAATAAGTTGGAAAGGGAACGCTGTGAATAGCAACTTTAATGCTGAAAGAATTATATACATCAACAACTAATGAGGAACATTTGTTGCAGACGGGAGAAGGGGGACTTATCGCTTGCGGAAGTATCGAATTGGGGCTGACTTGGAGTAGAAAGACATATCACAATATGATTGTTGTCAAGGACTTTACTTGATTTTGAGCGTTCAACTTTTATATCAGCTCCCATATATGCTATAGTGGTCCCATATCGGCGGTGCCGACAATTCTTGGAGAGAAAAGAACTAGTTTAAAATTTTAGATTGATATCTCAAAAACTGAGATCTATCAAATCGGAAGGGTGCTATCATCATTGGATATACAGTAAAGAGTCTCAAGAATACTTTTATTTCAGTAATCATAAAATTTCACTTATTGATTACATTGCAGCCCAGTGTGAATAATGACACGAAATCGTCGCTTTTGAGTTATTGTCCTTTAGAGATTAGCGTGCTGTGTACATTTTTGTTTACCAAAGTTTACATATTAGTATGATTGTTGTTGGTAGTGACTTGTATAAAATCACCCAACGGCAAATAATGGTCAATAAACACGTGCACACTATAAACACATATGGATTTGTATGTGTAGCTATGTAGTTGTACAGGGAAACCCACTAATTCCACGACAGGACATGGCTTAATGGGGCGGACATACTCGTGTGCCTGTAATTAATCTAATGTACCGAAACCGCAAATGATATTTTGCATGTTCATTTTCACTATTACATCTAAATAGTGTTCAAAATAATTACTAAGAGTGGCCTTTACTGTGACACCTTATTGTTATGACTATTTTTTTTTTATTGAGATATACCATATATAGTATTTCCCTTAACTCCGGTTGGAGCGTAGTTTTATTGAGAAACGTAAGGGTTTACCATATATTAAAGATTTTTAGTGACACGATCTGGAACTGTCATGAACTCAACACATGAAACACGCCATATTATCTACCATCCTTATATGAATACTCGTTGTATTCATAGGTATTTGACAAAATCTCTCTTACAAGTATTAAAATGGAGCTGCTGACTGTGGGAGAAATTGATTTTTTAAACCCGATTTCGTGGATCGCCCGATAACATTGTTGGTTTAATAAAAACATTATAGTACGGCAACTAATGGTTCTTCTATCAGCAGCACGTTCTTCGAAAAGCGGTACTGTACCGATAGAAGAGGTTGTACAACAACAATGTCTGGTTCAACAAAGAACTGAAACTGAACAAGAAAATATAATTGTTTAGCAATTCTATAAATGTTTTAATTTAACTTGGTTGAATTAATATCTATAAAAGTCTATAAAACAGTATCAAAAACATATTGAAATATTTAAGCTTCGACATTATGTTTAAATTATATTAGTAACAGAATACTATTTTGGATCAAAATCAAAATTGACTTGGACGAATTCATATAAACTGCACGCGCAAACCGAATCCATATAATTTGTTTGCCCTAGAGTTTGACAGCTGTTAGTTTACGACTCGAAAAGTTTGTCTGTTGTTTTTAACATGGAAAAATATTAAACAACGTGTTTGCTTGAAATTTTGTGTTTCTGATGGAATCACGGCTACGGAATCGCTGAAAATGTTGCAGAAGTAAGTTTGAAGTCTATTTTATCACAAACACAAATACTTCAGTTTCACACAGCAATTAGTTATGGTCGTGAAGTCAACTTGCCTCATGCGATTCACCCATTCAGCTCTGTTAATGGCGATAACATCGAAAAAGTTAAAGAAACAGTACTTGAAACTCGTCGTGATGGCAGCAGAAAATAGCAGAGGATCGCAACCTTTCTGAGGAATCGACTTATCACATTATTAATGATTAATGTTTTGTATATGAAGCGTATCAATGCTAGACGCGTACCGAACCTTTTGTAAAAACGAGGTCGCAGAAGAGATGCTCGACACCGTAGCCGAGAATCCCACGTACATAAGTATGTATAGTAAATATGTACATATATTAAACGCATCATTACTTGATAGTAGGTGTATATCATAAATATGATGTCGAAACTGTCCAACAATCTAGCAAATGGCGCTCCAAAAATTAGCCGAAACCGAAAACACACAAAATTTGTTAATGGCCATGCCAGCCGTGGCTTATAACAAGTGTATGGAAAATTGAGTTAAGCTTGTATTAATTAGTTCAGGACCCTATTTTAATAGCAAAAATAAATATATGTATTCAAAAACGTGAAAATGCAGTTTTTTTTTGTCAATCCGGGTCAAATTTGATCAGATGTTAAAATAATTTTTTGAGCCTTAATATTAAGAAAGGCTGAATTAGAAAAGTTTCGAAGCACTTTTTACACAGTGTATATTAAGCTTGTCAAGAAGTTTTTAACACTCAGAGGAAACGTCGGAGATGCTATAAAGTATGTATTATACATATACATGTACCATATAAATATGTATATAAATGATCAGCGTGACGAGCTGATTCGATTTAGCCATATCCGTCTGTCCATCTGTATATTCGTATATTCGTGAACTAGTCGCTCAATTTTGGAAATAACGATCTGAAATTTCGCAAACTTCCTTTTCTCAGCAAGAAGCTGTTCATTTGTCGGAATCGCCGATATCGGAGCACTTTAGCATATAGCTGCCACTCAAACTGAATTATACATGAAACTGTTGCTGAAATTGACTCTTCATGAAACACCCTTTATTTTAATGTGTGTATAGAATGTTCAATTTTTGTTTATTTTTATCGAAATTTCGCTAGTTTTCTTAGTAACACCCAATTAGATAAATACACAACATAAGTGTGCATGTAGAGGTAACGGGTTTTAAAGCGATTTGCTTAAAATATATATTTCAGAAAAAAGACCTTTTACGAATTTTCAACAATTTCCGCGATTTCAAGCATATTTACACATACATATTTTTGGATCGAATTAAATTTGTATCGGCTTCTTATAAATATATATGTACATATGTATGCGCCCAAATAAATACTCACAACCGTATGATCGACATTTGTCATGCTAGAACACATACATACATAAATACATACATTTACAATTTAATTAATTTCATATTCTTGATGCACATCAAATAGTTAGACACCAATTCTCACATTCAACAATAGAATAGAATTGTTGTATTTGTACGTTTTTATTGTTTTTATTTCATTTTTTATTATTTGGTTTTTCATTATGGAATTACGTACGACAAACACACCCACTATTGCTTGAATGAAGTAATTTTTCTATAAACCGAACGGGTGGTTCAGCAAAGGGGGTGTTGAAAAGCATTGCTTTTGTTATTGCTCTTACTAGAAAATGCTATCTCAATTTATTTGCATAAAAAAATATGTGTCAGACACTCTAAAACTGCTCATTATGAATATTCATTCATGTAATTACGTGCGCGGATTACTCATCAGTAACTACATTGTTGTGAGAAAAAAGATAACTCTTTGATTTAATTATATGTATATTAATATTTTCCTAAACACTGTTTTTGAAAGCAAACACATTTGCGCGATTATCTGAGATTTTTCACTAGGAAAACGCTGGAATTTTTTTAAAGTTATTTCTTTGAACTATACGAGAGCGTTCCGATATGTGCTAAGTCTACAAAAGGAAGATAAATGTACAAAAAGAAAAAAAATGCTATTTATATCTTAATAAAGCCTCCTCATAATATAATACATCCAGCGATGCTCCAACGTCTTTAAGCCGCCTAAAAAATACGTTTTTAGAAGACCTACAAGAGGTTTGGCAACGAAAAGAAGTCACGCGATGCTAAATCTGGAGAATAGGGTGGATAAGGCAGCAGTGCGTAGCTTAATTCGACCGATTTGACCTTGGCAACGGCGGAGATGTGAGCCGGTGCGTTGCCATGTTTCACGAGCAATTATTTCATCGCCAAGTGGGACCATTTTTCTGCAATTCAGTATCGAAACGACCCAATAATTCAGCATAATGTAGCCATGCAACCGATGTGCCCATTCCCCGGTAGTCAGACCTTGGGAATGACAGAAAACGGTGAACTTTTCGGTCGATAGAACTGTCTTTTCCCTCTTCGAACAGGATCACCAGGTTAAGTAGATTGTTTCAACTGTTTTCGTTAATTTACATACATTGTGTAAAAACACAAAAAAAGTTTTCGACGCGAAGCCAAGCAAAATGTTGCGCAACTCTCATGTTTTTACGTTTTGCCAAGCCAAGTTGCCATTTTTATTAGAGAGAAACACTGACGCGTTCATTGTGGCATACCCTTTGTTGTCTGCGCTTTGTTGTTTCTGTATGAACTGTCACGCAAAGCGGAGAAAATTGTATGTGAATGAGCCTTTCCTTCGTCTCTGAAGTGTACAAGTAGATCCATGTTTTGTCGACGGTCACGAAACAATGTAAAAAATCTTTCGGATTGGTGTGAAATGGACCTTCGTCTACGCTTGTTGTTGGTGGGTATGAGCAAACGCGTCACTCAACACAACTTTTAAGATGTCTGACTCAACTATCTCGCGCATCGTTGATCGGCGGTTTGTCAACACCTTTGTCATGGACTTTTGCCACATTTTCTTCCATCTTAGCCGTTTGGTGCACTTGAGCTTAGCTCGTAAAAACCCGACACACGTCGACATGCAAATCGTTAAAGCAATTTTTGACAGACCATTGATGAAGAAAAGCCCACAATGTATAAACAATTTTTTCACTGCGCTAATCACGCCTTCCAAAAACAAAAATCGAACCATCGACCGATATTGCTTTTTTTCCATTTCCAAAAATTCGCGGTAAAGCCCGTTTGCGCACGCGGCCAAAACAAAACTGCTCAAATTTTGACTATAGCCCTCTACAAGACATAGTAAATTTCTCTTGTGATAGCGACGCCAGCGGTGGTGGGTGGGAAGTAATGAACGGAACTCCCCATGTGTATGTATGTATGTATGTATTAATGTATTTTTTTTTTAAATAAATTTTTTACACCGATTTTTTATGTGTATTTCATCATAACTATTGCTCAAACTTGTATGTAATACATATTTATACATACATATGTATGCATGTACATATGTACTCTCTTAATCGCATTTAAGTAATGCTCAAACAATTAAGTCAGACGCTAACGATTCTTTCGCGGTCACCCCACGTCTTCGCTAACGACAACGTTACATACTTGTGTATGTGTGTGTATATGTACATATGTACATTTGTACTTGCAATGAGCACATAGCGGCCGCCATTAATTTGCAAGTGCCAATGGTCATGCCGACAATGTAACAAATAAGTCACCTCTAATTTTTTTGTATTTCGACAATAACAAGAACACTAGTTCACTAAAAAAAATACTAACTGGAGAATTGCCACACAGTTCCAAACACCTACCACAACAAAATGCAACTGTTCTATAAGATGGTCAACGAGAAGGCTGGTTACTACATTTTCTAGTGGTGCAATGTGGTTATACTACACATACACAAACACGCGCGTGCATACATACATACATGCAAACGTACTAGCAAACGCACAAAAAATCAAATACATTATTGTATATGTACATACATATGTATATATTAACAAGCAAATGTGCACACATAAATATAACAAATATACATGAATATGTACATATATATATATATATGTATATACATATCGGCAATATATACACATTGTTCAATCAGCACATAAAGTTAGCGTATAAAAAATATAAATATATACATACATACATACATACTCATCTATGTATACGGACATATGTATATATTGTATGTACATACATACATATATGTATATGACGACATGCAAATAAAATTTATCACGTTTGTGCGGAATATAGCAAGAAGCGTTCTTGATTTGGTTTTTGTTTTAATTTTTTATTAAATAGAAAATTAAGTTAAACACCGTAAGCGTGATTTTGTTTACATTATTTATGTGCGTCATTACCGTTAAATGTATTCTACATAAGCAAGATGAATCATTGTCACCATCATTAAAACTAAACACATACATACATACATACATACATACATATGTAAACATTACATATTACGCCACCCCCACTAGCGGTAATTTCGTTGCGTGACAAACGTAAATACTTGGCATGAAAAGTGAAAACGCCACACAAGCTACGTAGCGATCATTTCCAACGCGATTAAGGGGCACACCTAGTGCGACAGCCTAAAAAACGATTTTTAAGAATTCAAACAACAACAAGTAAGGAAGAGAAAAAATCGGGTGTAACCGAACATTTCATACTCTAGCAAGTTGAAAGGGTCAAAGCCGGCCATTGGTAATATTAAAAAATGTAGCGAAAGGGCTCAACTTCATTGTTCGACGAAATCGTGAATTGATTACAATAGCCTTCCATAGTTTTATTATACCCGTCAGCTAAAATTATACTAAAATCGTGGGTGGCATAGAAATGGAAGGGCTGATTGCATTATTTTTTGACATTGCTCAGGTATACTTGAGAACTTATTTTCAAGCAATTTTACAAAAAGTCAGCCATACGCACTGGGGTCCACATATTTGGCGTCTGAGTTCCTCAAAAGTTATGGTCCGATTTTGAAAATTTTTAGGCGTAATTTGAAATATACATTCTTTGGTTATTTATTTTTATACTGGAAGAATCAGATGGACTTAAAATTGTGTTATATGGGAAGTAGGCATGGTTTTTATTTAATTTCGCCTATTTGTATATACATCTATCACATTGTAATGTAGGAGTATCAGAGTTTTATTACATACCAAATATGTTTGAAATCGGTTGAGTATAGCCCGAGATATGGATTTTCACTTAAGTGTAGACGGGCTCATAATAAACCCTCTCCTACCAGCTCGGGTGTAAAATTTACTGTCTCTAAAGCATTTCCTTAGTGAATTGGCTGAAATAGCTTGAATTGTTTGGGAAATATGTACAATACATTAAACTTATTAGAGAGCGGGTCCACGCCCAATTTTAAAGGTTTTTAACCCTTAGGTTCACCTTGTTACTGCAATCCCCTGTATTAAATCACACTTTTACTTCTTAATTAAGTGATAGTATTTTATATGCTTTCGAGCGATGGCGCCCACAAAGGGCGTGGCGAGGGTCCGATTAGGGCCATCTAGAAACTCGAAAATAATTTTTTGCACGTGCACAAAGTTTCATTACGATATCAGAATTTTTACTCAAGTTACAGCTTCGAATTGTCTTGTTATCCTGATCATTTGTATACGGTGATACAAACAACCGTTAGGTTAGGTGAACAAAACTATAATACTCTGTAGCAACATGTTTCAAGATATACAAGATGCGTTCCAAAGTAAACAGGACTTACAAAAAAAAAAAAGACAGAACAAATGATTTTATCGGCAAAATCAATTAATTTTATTCAAAATAGTCTCCTTCTGCTTTAATACAGGCTTTTGCACGGTCTAAAAGCATGCCGGACGAGTGTTTTAGCTCGTTGCCCGGTATGGCTGCCAGTATACCGGTGCAAGCCTTTTGAATGGCCTCGACGTCTGCATAACGCTTTCCTTTCATCGGCAAATGCATTTTTCCGAAAAGGTAGAAGTCGTACGGTGCCATATCAGGTGAATACGGGGAGTGGTTGATTGTTCAAATGTGATTTTTGGTCAAATAATCGGCCACAAGCGTCGATCGATGAGACGGCGCATTATCGTGCAACAAACGCCAACTTCCATCTTCGCGATATTCGGGCCGAACACGTCGAATACGGCGCACCAAACGCTTCAAAACTCCAAGGTAGAATACCGCATTAACGTTTTGGCAATAAATTCTTTGTGGACAATACCATTGGAATCATAAAAACAAATCAGCATTGTCTTCACTTTTGACTTCTCCAGGCGCGATTTTTTGGGTTTCGGCTCATTTCTGATTTATGTCCTCACGACCACTTTGAAAACGTTGAAACCACTCGTGCACTCTGCCACGGGATAGGCAATCATCGCCATAAACTTGATTCATCAATTGAAACGTTTCGGTAAAAGTTTTACCAATTTTAAAACAAAATTTAATGTTGGCTCTTTGTTCGAAGCTCATTTTCGCACCGATGACAAAAACATACTGACACTTAAAACGCAATAACTTCACTTCCAATAGATGAAATGTCATGAAATTTTTACTGGAAATCGATAAAGGATAGCAGATTCTAACGCACTAGTCGACATATAGATGGCGCCACAAGAGTTTACTTTGTTACTTTTGTACTGTTTACTTTGGAACGCACCTTGTATTTTATAGACTAGTGCAGATGCTTTTGAATGGTTGTTTAATTCTTTCACCTAGGCACTCACCACTTACCGCGCACTGAACCTTTGTAACAGAATAAAAAACGCAAAAAGAATACTTAAAATTTTGTATTCAGACTTTATTTTGTTGTATGGTAATTATACAATATTTGAATGTTTAAACTTTAATAAGTATCCGGATGATAACGAAACACGAGATGATGCTGCGACGGATGCGTTGTTGCTGGTTTTGGTTGTGTGATGTAGAGTTGCGGTGCATAGTATCCTGTGTGTAAAGGTGTGTGGTGTCTGCGCGGGTGGTGTATGTTTGTGTGTATTAGTATGTGGTCTTCGTGAGTGGATTGCGTTCGTGTAGTGTACTGGCGTTCAGTGTTGGCAGGACTAAGTGCATATAACATATTTATATACTTATATAATATATTGTATACTTATATCATTTGAGTTGAAAAGCTTGATTTAAATATAAATATCTCGGACACGAAAAAAATGTAGTAATGAAACTTAGTGAGTCTCTGACCTATAATATAAGTCAGTAGGATACCAAATATTAACAATAAATATTGAATTTTTATTCAACATTTTTATATCCAGAACAGAATATATTAAGTTTGCCTGAAAGTTTTTTCCCAGAAGGAAACGTCGGAGACCTTATAAAATGTACATACTTATAAATTATCATCATAACAAGTTGAACCTATTTATCCGTGTCCGTCTGTTTGTATATACGCAAACTAATCTCTCAGTTTTTGAGATATCGATATGTACTCGTCCTTTTCTCCCCAAGAAGCAGCTCCTTTGTTGGAACAGCCGATATCGAACCACTATAGCATGTAGCAGCCATACAAGCTGCCCGATCAAGTTCTTGTATGGAATGTGAAGGGAATTAAAGCTTCGGTCCAACCAAAGTTAACGTTTTTTCTTGATTTATATAAATTTTTACCAACACCTGAAAGTATTTCTCTGGCTTTGATCCCTGCGAGAGTATAAAACTTTTGGTTATACCCGAACTTAGCCATTCCTCACTGCCGTCCCTAAATAAAAGCGGCAGCGTTAAATTACCGTCAAAAATTCCTCATGCCCATAGATTTTGTATGACGTATGCCTAAATAAATTCGTTTTTGACAGCGTGTTAAGAAGTAAAGTCGGCTGCAAAAAACCAAGAAATTGTAATGTTTCTGAAAAATTCCTTGACGCTTAAAGCTTAATGCTTTTAAAAATGGATGTAAGTATTATTATTAAATTAACTCGTTTTACTTTTTATTTATTTTGTAACAATTTTAGAATTTAAATAAGAACTTGACGTAAAGTTGCTGCTTTATATAGGGATGCCGCGTCGGCGTTAACGCCGAGCGGTAAAAAACGCGCCGCACAACGCTTTTATTTAGGTACGCCAGTTACTTGTATTTAAAACGATTTTGTAGCAGACAAATTTAGACCATTCAATAAAGAAAATATAATATCACTTCAATTTCATTCCGGTGAACTGTAAACAAGTCTTCACTTTGATGGTGCTCTCATTAATACTATCCGATGTGGAGGATGTGGTGCTTGCGTAAATATTTTTGCCAAACTTTTCAAGATCGGTCAGGGATCGACCTTAACAGTAATCATGCATACATACCTCGCTTCAAGTCATTATACAATGAAATGCTTAGCAAATACTTTATAAGGACCTCATTAAAATAATTGTTAGGAATAATCAAACAGGAATAATACAAAACATCTCAGTTATACATTTATATACCATATTTATTAATTCAAATTAAACAAAATGAATAATATAAAGTGTCTGTAAAGTATTATAAGTATTTATGAGTATATTGTTACAAAAATATAGTATAACCAATAACATAAAACAAATAAATGACAAGTATATTTCAAATACATGCTATATTTTATATTTCCATCTAATTAAGTTCATCAAAGTATGCACCAGTCATCAAATCTTCATCGTGAATATTAAACACCTTCATCAATTCATCAGCTATTTGTTGTCCCTCTTCGACTGTCTGATCCGGTCGAAGGCATACTTCAAATTCCATGAAATTTCCCAAATGCTTCACTTTATCCATATGTATACGAGTTTGGTCATGTAGAAATAAGTATCTCTCTTTTTCCAAAGTTCCTTTCACTCCATTACTTTGGGCCAAAATCTTTTCCAGCAATGCGGGATCATCTACATCTATTCTGTTAAATGTTGAAAGTTTTGGGCCGGTCTTGTTGGGTCGTACATAATATATAAGTTGTGAAGGCGTAGGTGGCTGTAGGTAGCGTAGTTTAAATCTACCACCTTTACTATCATCCAAAATATTGAAGAACACATCCTTCTGCACCAGCAATTCGCCGGTTGATTTCGTCAGTTCGCGCGCTACTTGAACTCGACGTTCAAATTCTTCATCACTGCCAACTCTAGCCTTAATCTCAACATTCCTTTCATCGCAAGGAATAAACGTTTCATCTTTTATAGACATTTTTGCTAATCAGTTAAATACACACGATTTACCTACTGTAGAGGAATTTTGCAATAACAATAATTGCGCTTGTTTGTTTTAAAGTAATATACATAAGTACAACAAGGTTAGGCATTACGAGTGTTAACATATGCAAAGAATTCTAAACATTTTTATTAAAATTTCTATAACTAATATTAAAAACAAAGGTAGCGAGCTAAATTAATTTTTACAAGTTAAGAACAATTACGTTCTATTAATTTTTATTTTATATTAAAAAATATCCAAGCTTTAGTAACTTTGTCAGACCGAAATATATATCATTCGTTCGCACAACGGCATCATTAGTAATTTTCGTTCGTTCGCACCAATTGGAACATGCGAGCATACGGTCAAATGTAATAACAACAATCAGCTGTTTGTACTTGGTCGTGAGAATTGGTATATTCCATATAAATTTTTCAGCTCCAACTAAGAGATATATAAATATTGATAACATGTTGAATTAAGTAAGTAGATTTTAAATAAATTTGGATACGACAAATCGGACAAAAATATCCAATTGTATTTTTATATATAATTAAAGCATTACATAATTGCATCAATCATGTTTTTCAGACATGCCTTTTTACAGCAACAGCTTTAGACGTATTTTGGACAAGTGGCCTGGCAAGCAGCGATTTGGCGTCTATAGATTTTTGCCATTGTTTTTTGTTCTCGGTGCTACTTTAGAATTTTCGATGATCAACTGGACAGTTGGAGAAACTAACTTTTGTAAGCTAACTAGAGCGATAAACTGAAAATAATTTACGGTTTTTAATATTTGCAGATCATACATTTAAAAAACGTCAAGCCAAAAATTTTGTTGAAGAAAAATTGCAAATAACGCAAGGACAAGTTCAAACACCAACTAAAGAAGTTGCGTAATTGTACACGTTCGTAATTAAAATATTGGAAAAATGCCTGCTGGGGTTTCTTGGGGACAATATATGAAATTTCTCTCAGCGGCGATGTTGTCTATGATGGCTGGCTCGCAATTAGTACATATGTACTACAAACCATTAGATGATTTAAATACATACATAGAACGCGAAGTTGGAGCTACAAATACACAAAAGTTAGAAGTTAAATTATCTCCCTCAGAAAAATCAAACCAAACAGCAGATGGAAAAATCGCTTAGTGAATGTTATAGTTAAGAAATGACAATAAAGCAAATATTGAGCATTTCTTTTACAAAAGTGATCTTATTTAAAAATAATGCTAAGCAATTTTTAAGATAGTATGAATTTCCTCATACAAATACGGAAAGCAAATGAGAATATTGCATATATACATAACAAAACGTGGCCTGCATTTACAGAAGCTATTTGATCAGTATTGCACATGTATAACTATAAAAAATACACTTCCAACTGTAACATAATTAGATTATTAGTTTGCACATTAATTACTCTTCCCCACCTCAATTCACAACACTGGTCATTTTTAAACTTGTTATATTCGTATTCACCTCAGAGCTGTGTGCAGTTGCAAGAGCCTTTGGTACCAGAAATTAATTCAGTAATTCCTGATTAGCATTAATTGTTTTTATTTCCGCAACCAATTTTTCGTGTGATTTTCGATGGTTTTTTAAACATGTCTGTTGTCGATATGCTTGCCCACAGACATCACAAACATAAGGTTTCTCTCCTGTATGTATATATTCATGATGGCGTAGCGTTTTCCTCGAAGCAAAACATTCTGAACAATACTGACATTCGAAAGGCTTCAATTTCATATGCACTGCTTTAACATGGGCCTCCAGTTCAAATTTCCGTATAAATTGCCTGCCACAGTGTTCGCAAGGCATTTTGTCATTAGAATGAACTAGCATATGTTGGACAAGCATAAATTTCTTAGCCATTCGTCGACCGCAAATTTTACATTCATATTTTGTTTCGTTTGTGTGCAGTTGCAGGGTATGATATTTCAGTGTGTAACGTGAATAAAACAGCTTGTTGCAAACATTACATTCAAAACGCTCTTTCAGCTGCTCCTTTTCAGCTTTTTCTGCTTCCGTAGGATGTTTTGCACGCCGATGATATTTAAGATTACCCGATTGATTAAAGGTCGCACCACATTGTTCACACACGTACTTGGTTATACACGACGTATCGGAGTGTTTTAAACGTTTATGCTTTTGCATTGCAATGAAACTGGTATACATACGCTCACATCCGGAAATGTCACAAGCATACGATCTAACTTCAGCATCATGTATTTCCTTGATATGAGTATAAAGACCTCCAATAAAAGTATACGATTTTTCGCAACGATCGCATTGAAATGGACGTTTGCTTCCTTCGTGTACTTTGCGTATATGAGCATCCAGTGTTATTTTGTGTGCAAAGCTGTGACTGCATTGCTCGCATTTGAAACTGTTTTTAGTGCCTTTGTTACGACGCTTCGTCGTACTATCCAATTTGCTTAGACCCAATTGAATGCGCCCATCAACATTTCCCACTTTTGTACTCTTTATTTTATTGTCAGTTGTATTAGCAGTATTGATATTTTCAATGGGTAGAGCACGTTTTCTACGAGAACGGGTAGGATACTTTTTTATTTCCAAATTACAATCTCGGTGTTTCTTGTACTGAGCCTTATCTTCCACTGCAGTCGATGATTTAAAAATATTTTTTAAGTTTCCTTTGTCTTGATCTATATTTCGTTTATATTCTCCTTCGTTGGAATTTTCCTCGTTAAAACCATGCCATTCTTCATTATTGCTTTCGTACTTATCATCGCTCAAATTTTCCTTTTTTGCAATATCTATCGCAGTACCATTACCGAATGGATCTGGGTCAGGTAATGCTTTGCTAATTGTTGCTACATCACTCATTGTATTAATCATAACAGATTCGGTTTCCATAAGAGTATCTTTAAGCTACAAAGTTATTTCATTAAAAAATAAATATATATATAAGTTAAAACTACTATTTTCCTTACCAACAAATTGAAGATATCTGTTGTGGTTTGTTGTACACCGGAATTATCCTCAAATTCGTGGTGTTTTTCATCTTCAACAATTTCAACTTTAGCTGCACCTAAGCAAATTAACTCTTGCAATCTCTGCGTACTATTTCTCACTTGTTTTTTGAATGACCAAACGCCTTGTAATTTCTTATAGCAACACATACACATATATTGAGGATATTTTTGAGACATCGGTTTCGCTTCTTCATTAATCCACTGTCCTTCCATACATGAAGTTATAAATTGTTGTATTAATTCAATGCCTACAATGCTAATACAAAAATCTTTGTACTCGGAAAGTTCTTCTTCCTCCTCTAAATTTATTAAACAACTAATATTCTCTCTTTTCAATTTTTTCAAGCAAGTTCGACAATGCTCTTTTACATTTTCTATTGATAGTACCGACATTTTAAATTTATTAACATTTGAATCCATAATAAACGAAATATTTTTGTTTGTTTACTAGAGGAGCACAAATTCGTAATAGTGCTGTAAAAGTTCTGATGGATCAGCAGTGCAACAAAAAGTAACCATGCCTAAATTGTCGTATTTACCGCAAAACTTCTTCACAAGCATTAATATTTATATAATACTAAAGATAATAGAAAAACATATTGCGAATACCTTGCATATTGAATTATTTATCTGATATATAATTTATCAAATTTTCTTGCTAAGTTCTTGTAAGTTTGGAGGAATTAAAATTATCTGGCATCCTTTTAAAATTGAACTAATTAAGGTGACCATAAAAAATAATATCTAATTTAATATATTATTTCAAATCCATATCCGAGCAACTTGAGCCTTTGGAACGTCACAAACCCTATAAAATATAAATATAAATGATCAGCGTGGTCACCGATAATCCTCGAACTTCCATTCTGTTAGTGTCATTAATCACTTGTAACACAAATGATATGGAAGCTGTGCCAACGGTTGTTTTGTTATCACTATTACCAGGCACTCTTACCGTCGAACGCTTATAGAAAATTAAACACACAATAATAACATAATTTTAGCAAGGAAATATTTATTAAATCCAACGCATAATAATATAGCTAAGAATTATAAAAACTTAAAATTCCCTATATATACTTACTATATACCATAATTATTAAAATATTGATGTGCGTCATTACATCATTTTCTAGGATTAAAATACTTTTAGAGATTACAAGAAATGCACTTACAAAATCAAGCATCTAGCTTTTTTTCAATCGTATCGTCTTTAAAATGTTTCAACCGGTGCTGTTTCATAGCTGTTGGTTGGCGGAAGTCCTTTCCACAAACGTCACAAAGATATGGTTTTTCCCCAGAATGTCGGTAACTGTGGAAGCGTAGAGACTTTTGTGTTTGAAATGATTTATCGCAAAGTTTACAGGGAAACGGTTTCTCTTTTAGATGGGCTGAACGTTCATGATTCAATAGATCTTGATACCACATAAAACTTTTATCACACTGACCACATGGTATTCTGCCATCTGTAGAATGTGTGCGTAAATGATCCACAAGCAAATTTTTTACAGGAAATCGTTTACCACAAATTCCACAAACACGAGACATATCTTCTTTAATATGAAAACACATATGCTTTTTTAGTGATAAATCTGTTGTAAATGCCTTAGGACACACACTGCACTTAAACTGGGCGTCTGCGTTTAGTACTGTTTGATGTTTTTGTTTCATATGTTCTTGTAGACTGCGAATATATCTGTAGGCTTTGTCGCAATGACCACACGAAAACGGCAACTTATTATCATGCACCTCCCGCATATGTGCTTGTAATTCTGAATTGAAAGCATACGTTTGTGTGCACTGTGAACATTTATATTTTTCGCTGTTATCTAATGCAGGCTCTTCTTTCTTGATGTCGTCCTCCTTTCCAGCAATTGTTTTACTGCGACATTCGGCTGCAGTTTGTAAAACAGGTGCAAAAGGATCTGCCATCTCATCATTTAGTTCTGTATCTGCTAGATTTGCTACTGATGTATCGAAAAAAACTTGCTCGTCTTCCATAAGCGCATCCCTAAACTATATATAATTGGTGAAGTTATCGGTTAATTAAATATCTATATTCACAATCTTACTTGCAATTTGCAATCCTGAAGCAAGTTTTCCACACGTTCTTTCTTTCCCATAAATTGGTTATCATCTTCGTCATAATTGATTTCAACTTTTATCATTCCACTACTACAATTAAGTACAGTGCGTAACTTTTCAGCGCTCTGTTGAGCCCTTTTACGGAATAAGGCAAAGTTGTTGAGCATACTATAGCAAGCGAGGCATATGTGTGCTGGCAATTCATTATCAACAACATTTACCGTGTTACTTCTGGTAGGACCATCTATATAAATATAGATTAGTTGTTGCAGCTCAGGATCGCTGTAAATGTTAAATTGCAGGTCCTTGCTATCAGGTATATCGTCTTGATCAACATTGTCAGAAAAACCGTCCGCATTAGCACCAAGCCTTTTCAAACAAGTACGGCAGTGCTGACTTGCATTATTCTTTGTTAATAACGACATAACTTTTTAATTTGGATTTATTAAAACCTTAAAAATGGCTTACTATTTGTAATAAAACAACTGACAGCACGAAAAACAATACAAACTTGTCGCTGCTAAAACCTTGCCATATGGAGGAAAACATTTATCACAGTGTCAGTAGTGTTGAGTGTTAATTTTAACCCATAAAATAATAAACGAGTGTTAAATGATCGATAGTTGAACTTCTATATTTTCAATAGTATTTAAATTTTTTTACAGAGAAAGAACTTCTCAACCATAGTAGTTTCAACTGTCTTTTGTAGGAAAATATAAAGGGTGTTGAATAAAATAACGTTTATAATTTATTTGCATACGTGCTTCTAGTATAAATGTGAATGTCAAAGTAATATTGTTAGAAAGTTTAACTTACATTATACTTCTCTATCTCTTATGGAAATATTCTTCAAATTCAGTAACGTGATGGGTAAAAGCAAATAAAACATTTTATTCCCTGAACATGGTATATTAAGTATTCCAAGAGGTTTCTAACATACGCGGACACCCTATAAAATATATTTATACTATATTTATATATATATTTATACTATATTTATATATATATATATATATATAAATGGTCAGCATGATGAGCTGAGTCTGTCATTCCGTCAGTATATACGCAAACTAATCCCTTAGTCATACAAACTGATCGATCAAAAGCCAGTGCTTGTATGGAAACTTTTATTTACCGAGATATCTTCATGATATTTAGCATTTTGGATTATTGTCCGAAGCAACGGTACGTTCTCCAAAGAAATTGTTCAGATTGGACTACTATAGCATATAGCTGCCATACAAACTGACTGATCAAAATCCAGTTCTTGTAGTATTTGTGATGGGTAGAGAAGTATCTTCTTGTTTCAATTATTACTGAAAATCAAAGAAATGTTTCAAAAGCAATTTTGTTGAAGTTTATTCTAGCTTCTTTTGATTATTGTACTTATGTATGTATGTCTAACTGTTACTAAAAGCATATACATTATATTTTAACTCCATTATATGGAAACCTTTAATTATGAAGTAATAATATATTTTTTCAAACACAATAGTTAATTATTGTTTAATAGAAGATTTCATTATAAAACAAAACTTATTTTTTATTACAAATTAAATCTAAAAATTAATACAAGATTTTGTAAAAAGAAACTTATCAGGTATAAATGCAATATAAAGTTAACATCAACTGAAAGTAAGATGAACCTAAACGTTAAAACCAGTAAAATAAATTTCGTCCAATTAAATGCAAGTAGAGTATTGACTAGCATTCCTTTTTGTTTTTGTTTTAATTTCACATATTCTCGGTACAAAGGCAAACTTTTATACATATGTTTACTTTAATATATAATTAAGTGATGGTACACATAGCAATATTTGACGAGACGTCAGAGAAATTTTTGGCACACAATTCTTTAAAGATTAATTGAGCATACTTTTTAAATCTTATTGAACACATTCATGCGACCAAAGAAATACGAACTTTTATTGAAAGAGTATCAAAGGAAATATGAAAACATTTACACACATTTTAATTTACAAAAGTAGTATATCGCCTTTTGTGTGGTTGTATGAAAGAGTACACTAATATATTTTAAATATTTCAAAAGAAATATTTGGTTAATTGCTAGATTGCAAATGATGTTTTGATATTCTTCTTTTCGGTTATACACCAAATACGCCGTAATTATTAAATAATACAGTAGAAAGTGAAATGTATCGTAAGTAATCGGTTGTTCACAATTACTATGCAATGAATATAGTTGGCGAGAAATGCAATGGTCGGCTGTAAACGTCGTAAACGACGTTACGATATGCGTACGTTTATACATATATGTATATATGTTTGTGTGTATATAAAGAACTTATGATGATTTTGTCCTGCGATATTTAGTCGCTAACAAAATATGAATAATAAAATATATTATCAGACCTTAACAATAAGACCCAATTAATGTAATTGAAAATGAATCGGCGACAGGATCGGGCGCAGAAATTGGTTTCCAATAAAGCCAATTGTAGCTGACTAAAAATTAAGTAAATATCAGATAAACATTGAAGTTGGGCAGTAGTTTCTTTGTTTACGCATACTTACGTACGAAAGATTGCGGTAAGCGTATTGATAATGTGCGGCAACGATGTCGACATTCACTTGTTGGGCGCAGGAAGATGTATCTAGTGCCGAGCGCTTGTTGTACAAACACATTTGCACATTGCGTATCAGGCAAAGTATAGGTCGGCGCTTGTGTTGTGTCGATTGTGATGTATCGCTCTAGCGCGATACCGTTACGAGGCAGATGTATTGTTGGACTGGCGAAAAGTTTGCGCAGCAGACGTGCGGGTAGCATTCGGTTACAACGCCACAAATTATGCGCCTCAATTATTTGCGTAGACTTTTCTTTACTTTGCGTATGATTGTATTTATTAAAAAGCTCTTCTAGATTTGTAACTTCACGATTTGTCGATTGCACGCGGTACGCATCGCGGCGAAATGTTGCATGATTGCTTAAGTAGAGATCGTAGAAATCCTGCAGTTGAATGGGATTTTGATTTATCTATAGAGAAGAAATCGACGTATAATTTATTGAATATAGAACGGCATCATATTACATCTGCTTAGCATTTAGACTTACCTTAAATACAAAAGGCACAAATTCATTTGGCATTTCTTGATTTGAATTATCACGACTACTGTTTTCTTCATTATCGTTGTAAACATCAACACTTCGCTCCGTTACCGAAGTTAAATCAAGTACACTCTGTACTGTTGAACAAGGATCGCAGCTAAGTGCATCGACACCTTGGAAGAATGGATTCTGCATTAGACACGCCTCATCATACAGTTCTGTGAGTCGTGGAAAACGTTGAATTAATGGCAGTGTTATGCGACGCCACATGCGCATACTGGGATAGATAAAAGAATGCACATTATGTCCTGCAGACGTTAAACCATCCGACGATGTGTCATTGCGATGTCGATAAGCAAAAACGCACAGCGAAACAAGCATAAGATAAAAAATCCAATATAATATTTGGCGCCGCCGATCCAAGACTTGGCTGAGCACTTCCAATTTGAGAAATGCTAGAGAAGATAGGTTCGAGTAGTTTCGTATATTCAAATCATCATCAACTTCCATTGTGCTGCGTTGTTGAAAGTACTGCCATAGCAGATAGTTATCAAAATATAGCGGGCGTACACGAAATGACTTTTCAGCTATATTACGAAAATGGCGTAATGCAATCACATATTTTTGTAGGACTATATTACGTGTTAATATAGCAGGCTCCGCAACTGCAGGAGCAGGCTGTGCAAAATTGAACTCATCCATATCTCAACAACTTATTAATTCGACACCATCGTTTTTACTTTTTATGCACTCTCCGACGCTACACCAATTTCCAAAAATTTACTTGGCATAAAATAAATTACGAATAGACCTCGCCTTGAAATCGTTCGATTTTATTTTTTCAATTTTGTTTTGACATCCGAAAACGTAACTTTTATATTCATTTGCTTTCTATTGTATTTACAATAAGTATGCTATTCACAATGAATTCTGATTGACTGAATAAGTTTTGAACTAAAGTGTTAAAACCGTGCATATCAGTAAAAGCCATCATCTGATGAAATAATTAGCTTTAACTTTATCTATCAGTTATGTTAATTTCTAGAGTCAAGTGTATTGCATAAATTATTTGAACATTGAGGACTGGATTAGCAGAATTCAGAAGTTGTGGTTAAAGAATTGAGTTAGAGGTATTATGCTATGTAAATAATGATTTTTATATTCCATACCATTGTATCAAGAAATGTTATTAAAACAAGTTATTTATAACGAATTAAATTTAAGCTATTTTGTAATTTTATAAAAATTTAATTTATCGATAAGTCTAACACTACTAAAATGAGGTACTTTTTCATATTATTAGTCTGGCTATATTGGCGTTAGAAACGTCAGGCAATGACCAATAAATGTCAAAAGGAACACTATTAGCAAAGACCTTCTGAGCGTACCGAGAAAAAGAAAACGTTGTGTATTATTTTACTTTTGTTTCTAATTAAATTAATGCGAAATAAGAATTTGGTGTATTTTTTTGTTAAAGTGGTGAACAAAAGTTTATCGGTGAGTTCGGTAAATATAAGGAATATATAAAGTTCATGTTGAAACATGAAAAAGCGTATGGAAACTAGCGAGTGAGTGGAACGAGTGTGTCTGTCGATCTATACCGAGGGATTTCGTGAGGCTTTAAAAAATTACACTATATTCCGAAAAAAGTAGAATGAAATTGTGTAAAAAATAATTGATGCGCAAAACTATTGCGTTTAGAAAGCGCGACTAGTGTAATATAAGAATGGCAACATGTTAAATCAATGTGATGTATTAAAATTTGATAGTTAAAAGTGGTGGCCATGAGTATTTCAATATTTTAATAGTATTTTGAATGATATACTGCAATATGAGTAAAGAAGGAAGAGAGGTAATAAATATGATGATTGAAGCGTATAAAACAGTGAAAATTGAAGCGCACCAAAGAAGACGATATAGTGTAGAAATGTTATCGAAAAAGTTAATGTGGATGGCGTTAGGTATTGTAGCGCCCGCGCCGTCGCAGACGTCGTCTATGCTGCCTCATGTCATCATAAAGAGTAGTGAATTGCTACGACACGGACACGGAGTTTATTGTTCTTAACGACGAATAAGAGGAAATAACAGAAGTGAAACAACTAATTGGAGATATTCTGCAACAGGCAATAAAAAATGAAAACTGTTAATTTGATTATTAAGAAAATAACAAATTCAAGTGTGTTGTTTAGTAGTGAAAATATAGTGAATATTGTAGCGTGGAATATGCTGGTACTGCCGGTGTAGTGTTAAAGTGTATATAGTAAATGCGGTCGGCGTCGCGCCATACACAACGTTTACGTCGGCGTTGTCATGCGAATAGAAACAAAAGAAATCAGTGGCTAAAGTTTACTCGCAGTGTGAGTAAGCGAGTGCGCTCTATTTTATTCCTTGCCGGACACCGTGTGAGAGTTTGGCTATAAAAATACTGATGTTGCCATCTTTTCTATTTATATATAAATATTTTCAGTGATGGATAAGTTGAATAGAAATTGTGAAAAAAATACACCAATATGTACATGAGCTTGTTTTCATTCAGAAAAATAATACTTCGTCGTTAAAACTGCAAAAATACTATTTCAATTATATTAATGTTAAACTGATGTGCCTACGACACATGTGTTCCGTTTATAAATAAGTGGTAAATGACCTCGCAACTCGAGTAGTTGTCAAGGTTCAACCAACCATCCAAGTATTCATAATATGTACATACATTTAGATGTAATAGTATTTTATACTTTCTACATATCCTTGCCAAGTTCTTCTGGGAGTATTCCTTATTAATGTTAAATTAATTATAAATAATTTATAAAAACTCGCTATGTCCTAGAAATTTAACCATTTGTAGTTATTTAGATATTGCAAAGTATTAACTTTTGGCAAGCATACTTTATTATTGTATGAATATATACAAGTATATTTATGTATGTATAGGACATTTCCGTTTCCGAACCTATATAGGTTTATATTCATTATACTTCCTCTTTTCCAAAATTGTGCATATAATATTTCTATACGTACATATGTCCATACTACATAAGTATATGTTCATTGGTTTGTACATTGTTTCCTCACTTTACTATTTGCCATCTTTTATGCTCTAAACCAAGTTCCAATACTATCACTGCTGCCGCCTTTGAAGATAGCGAGCTGCAAAAAGAATTGCATATGCAGGCATCTGGGCGGCATGTTGCAAGTGAAACGGTGCATTAGGTGCTTGCTATGTTACCACACGACTTTCTTTCGGTTCCTTCATAGTTGCGCTCTCGTTTTTGTAGTACTATATAGTTTTCACATTACTGAATGAATATAGAAGTGTAGTGGATGCTACAGTAAATTGTTCATTGTGGACTCTTCTAGTACATCACCAGACATTGTTGCATTGTAGAAATGTGTAGATACTAGGCGATGGGAAATATGCAAGCAATACGCAAAATGAGCATGAGAATGTGCAAGTGAAAATACCAGATATGGTTAAATTGCACTACATTTGTATTTTTCCAATGTTGAATTTTTTTCTCTGTAGTTGCTACACTATCAGTATATTACACTGCATCCGGAAGTTTTCTACGCTGCTAATAATAACAGTGAATTGGTAAAAATCGAAATGTCATAAGACAGTTTTAATAAGTGAAGTTTTTGTGGATAAGTAGCCTCAAATACACCATAGAACTACCTTGAAAGGATAAAAAAAAATATGTGATAGAAAAGTGAAAGTACGTAAATGTATAAAAGAAAATATTTGACTTAAATGTAACAGGCATATATATATTATGGTCTGCTTCGAATACTGCACAATTGACACGCCTCGATTGGCTATGCAGTTTTCGGCTCTGTTTTTTTTTTTTTTTGAGTATATTGGTTAAAGTGAATGTTTATTACAGTGAAATATGGAAATTCACCGTTGAATCAAAGCAAATTTATAATTAAGTTAAAGAGTGTAAAATAAAAATCAACAATTACAAATTAGATGATTTTAAATCGAATGTTTTTGCATACATATTTCACACTGGCAAAGCATATGTAGTGATATAGCAACAATAACAACTTAAAATTAAACTTCCTTAACATTTGCGGACACCGAGCTAAAGTAGTAGATGCAGTTATGGCCTCGATTTGGCGGTATCCGAATAGAACGAAGTACCGTGCTAAAGGTAGGTTCAAATACATTAAATAAAGATAAAAAGTAGTCCAATTGGATTTATTTTTTAGCTGTTTATAGGTCATACTGATATTTCTAAACGTACATATGGTAGATATATACATATTAATTATTAACTGTTAAATTACAAAGTTTGTATGGTTCAAAGCACTTTCAATAGGCCAATACGTGCCAGCTGTTGTATATTTCTTTTTTCTGTATCGCCTTACACCATACTTCCCAAAACCTTTGTTTCACTGTAGATAATTTTCCGGTCGAATATAAAGTCGATATCTTTCCTCCTGCTTATGGTATGTGTCTTGATGTTATTCATACTATGAGATTATATGCTTTATGTGAGGTACTGCCAATCTATAATTGATTTTTATGAGAAGTATTTTTTCAGACATAAACTAGACTAGTATATAATTAGACAAACAGTTTGTATTTTTTTATTTTACCAAGAACTTTTATTACGAATCACCTTGCCGATCCAAAAAAGTAAATTTGCCAAAATAACTAATTGTAGAGCCTAAAAAGCTTAATTGTAGCATGAATTGTTGTTAATTGTAAATAAGAGCTACCTTAACAAAACATACCTCCACACCCATACATATGTTATCACATGAGTATATTACGGATCTCGATATTGTTTTGTTGGTGAATCGGTACTACATTGCAGTGATGCACATTCACGTGCTCCATATGTAGTACCACCGACTAGTCAGTCTGCTAACAAATAATTGACTGCGCAATTGATGCGAATTTCTAAAACGCAAAAGAGAGCAAAGATATGAAGTCACTAACAATACTGTGTAATGTAGATAATATCGTTAGACAGGTGGAAAATATGTATCACAAATGTACATACATGTATATATATGCACGTCAAAAATGACGTTGTACATTCGCATTAATATTGCAACAAATATTTTGAATGAAAACGGAAATTCCTATCGTAATGTAAAAATTGCCAACAGTGTTGTTTTTAAGTAGTTTCAACGTGTGATCTCTCTGAAATGTGCGACAATATTTGAAACTACAGTCATTTATAGGAATTTTGTCTCTATACTTACCGTCGGTACTTGTCTCCTGGAAATATTTTTAAAATTTTCAATCTCATAATTTTAACTGGAATTTAATTTGTATGTAAAAATTTAATTCTAAAAAGTGTTCTAAAATCGAAGATGCCTCATAATGGAAAGAATTTTCAGCTTTTATAAAGATGCGTTAGGGATATATTACTTTTATACCCTGAAATCTATTGCTTATTTGTCTGAAACGCCGTTATCGGTCCACTATAGCATACAGCTGCCAATGAAAATCAAGCTTTGTATGGAAACCTTTTTTTTTGACAAAATATCTTCTTAAAATTTGACATAAATATATTATTATTCACGACAACACTACAATTTCCGAAAAAAATACCACGATATCATATACGTACATTTAATTTTTCAGTTTCGCACCACCTATTATGCTCAATTTCGTTTTTCTTTGGGAAAACGTTCAGAAAGTTCGTGCGGGAACGATTGTTATTCAGTTCTTTTCCTACAACAAAAAGTTACTTATTTCAAAAAAAGAGACTTTATAGAAATTTACATATATTATTAAATCACAGTTACCCAGTCTTAGTTAAATCTGAAATCGAATATTCAGCCAATTTTTATATTTAAACTGAAAAGGGTAGAGCTCTCGTGAGGATCTCTGTTGAGGAACACTAAAATGTTGAAAATTCTTACAATAATTTACTTTAAAAAATGCAGATTTCATGTCGAACAATTTTCTGTCGTCCTCACGAGCAGATCCGGAATTCCCTATATAATTTGGAAAAAGAATTTCATATTCGGTTAAAATTAGAAAAAATATCTGAAAAGTAAATTTTGCTATTGTTTTGCTTATTTTAGGAAGAGAATTACTTCAGAATCTAAAAATCTTTGCGGACTGTTGAGCAGCCGATTCTCAACTAAGATTATTTCCACTAATATCTCAACAGGCTTTGCAGAAGTGAAGTGAAAAAGTGGCAAAATCGATTTGAGCAAATGTTGCCTAAGCTAGCTTACATCGGTACATTGAAAACTCATTATTCTAAAAATAAATAATGTGGCGAGTGTTTCTACCATGAAAAACTAAACAAAAATGGTTTTGGTCTTTTCGCAAATAGTATAACCTAATTATGCAGATAATTATGATCATCGTCTACAATTGACCTTAGCTGGTAAGGTAAACAACGTGCGAATTCTGTGTTTCATACTCATTTTGTTAGATTTCATTAGAATATTATGCGATTCATTCTATATAATGAGCTATAAAGACTTAGCGGTCAATATTTATGTTGCGATAATTTGTATGTTATGGGCTGAATGTACATATGTATTCTTTATATGTAATGCTTTTAGCGATTTTTGTACATCCTTAACTATATTTTTTGTGCTGTGTCAAGTTTAGTGAAGTTATTGTTTTATAGAAAAAAAATATTGCCAAATAAATGATCGTCGTGTTTATGATCGGAAAAAAATAAAAAAAAAACTACGCAATATCGCCTGTGAAGGTTTTCCAATAATCCGCCACTTGTATGCCAGAGTATGCAGGTGAAATCTATTAGTTATAATATAACATACATTAATTTTTTAAATAAGACATTTGTAGTTTTGTCATCGTTTTAAGTAGGCCGTTATGTGACCGATTATGTTGAGTGAAATTGTTGTACAGTTACTAGAAATCTAGGTTTTTCCATGAAGATTTTATATCAACGAACAGCTGTTGAAGAAGGAAACATTTTGAATAATTAATAGCCACTGGCATCCCACTATTGAAGCTAGACATTATACTTTATTGACATTGGTTTTGGTGTCTACGCTGGTTGCTAGACAAATTATGGCTCTTATAAGTTTTTACAAAACAATTGATCTGATTTTACAATGCCCGGAATATTACTTAATATTTTGTTTATTGAAGTCTACAATTACAATAACCTTTACAAACCTTAATCAGTTTTTATACTCTTTTATACTATAAGAAATACACTTGTGAAGCTTATTCTAGCTTCGGTGCAGCCGAAGTTAAAGTTTTTTTGTTAAAACATCACATTAATTTTTAAAAACACACAAGGAATGTTTTTTTTAGACGTGTGGTTTTTAATAGGGTAATACTTTTTTTAGAGTTGGTCCTTTAGACAGTTGCTACTTGATTTATACTCATTTTGGTTTGCCATAATGACTAGACTTACCCCGAAACAACGTTTGCAAGTCGTGTTAATTTATTACCAACATAAAAGTTCGGTTCGCGCAACGCATCGTGCGCCAATATTCGGTCGACATAATCGCCCAGCAGAGTCGATAATTCGAGCAACCATAGATCGGTTTCGCACCACGTTACTCTAGTAGAGTCCATCCGCCATCGCACGCAACAATTCAGACTCTGTCACATCCTCACAAAGTCACTGTTTAATGCGCTCTATAGGCACAGGGAATCATTGGTCCATATTTCTTTAAAAATGAAGCCTGTAATAATTTTGCAGTCAATGGGAAACGCTACAGAGCCATGATTTATGACTATTTCATGTCTGAATTGGTTGATATGGACGATATTTGGTTCCAACAAGACGGCGCTACATGCCATACAGCCAACGAAACAATCAGTTGCATTATCTTGCTTGTGGCTTGTGCGTGGCCTCCAAGATCGTGCGATTTTACACCGCTGGACTGTTGTTTGTGGGGTTATGTGAAGTCGCTTGTCTATGCAGATAAGCCCGAGATTATTGACGCCTTCGAAGAGAATATTCTGCGTCCCATTGCTGCAAAAAGTTGTCGAAAATTGGGTCTCTCGGCTGGATTTTTTCCGAGCCAGCCGCGGCCGTCACTTGCTAGAAATTACATTTTAAAACATCATGCTAAACCCTTATCTTTATAAAAAAGCTTAGTTCTTGGCCATAACATTAAATTATATGCATTTTTGTTCTTCTTCAAAACCACATGTCTAAAATATATTTTGATTGTTTGTTTTGGCTTGAGGGTTTTTAATGTTCTTATTTTAGGACCAAAACCAATAGTACAAATAGCATCTCGACACCAAAGTATTCACATTTATGTTATGGGAAAGTACTTATTCGATTATTATCGATAAAAAAAAATGTCGACAGTGATTGCTGTGATTATTTTTTATAAACTGAATAATACTTTGTGATTCGTGTTAATATTAAGAATAAATTAAGTCTACGTGGACATAGATAAGCTGATCCAAAGTCCATTGTCGTTTTCCAGCGCAGGTATTAGAAGCGTACCTAGTACATAAGTACTTGTTTTGATATCAAATAATCAGAGTCTAAATACTCCGCCTCAATAAAAAGTTGGATGCTATAAAATTTCAATAAGAAATTAGTTTTTTCTTCACTAACATTTGTTTATAAACTGTGCAACGCTGCGTCGTCATCGCTGTCATCATCTGCTGCTTTTGGTTTTTGGAATTCCCATGACAGCACCAGCGCTAGCGCCAGCGCCAGCGGACCTCACGCACGCACTTGACAGCGCTGTCGACGAATAATATGACTTAACTGACCAGCTGTTTGTGCTGGCTGCTCTCATTGTGGACACAGTTTTTGATGGTTTCGTTTGGCATGGAAATTTCATAAATTCGCCAAGCCGCATAAAATGCGTGTACTCGTACAAATGAAATAGCGAATGGAACGCAAAACGAGTGAATATAAAAATCATCAGGCAAAGCGAGAAATATTATTAAACGTAGATAGGAAGGCATAAATAGGCAAGGTGGACTAAAAACTAAATATGTAAATAATATATTTCTAAATATTAGACAGATACATGCAAATGTACTACACAATTGTTGTTGTATGTATGCATGTACATATGTATGTACTTGTGCGTAACGCCATTTTTTCTTGATATCAACATACTTGCGCGAAAACTCATAATCGTATGTATGTACATACATACAATATGTATGTAGTACTTATATAACAACAAGAAATTCATTATTTTTCCAATAGATGTCATTATTAATCTATATATTACGTTGTATAAGCGCGTTAGTTTCAATTTCGTACTAAAATAACCACTAATGACAGTTATATGATTGCCTGACTCAGTATTGTTGGAAAACACGACAAAGATGAACAACAGAAAAGAGAAAATACACCATATTTTCCATTTTTTCTTCAATAAAGAAAATAAAAAAGACTCGAAGCTTGGTTTGGAGTTTCTTAAGCATCCACATTATAGTCTAATCTATATAGCGCGATTTTACTGGTGAAAAACTCGCCTTTAGAGAAGTTTGTAAAAATCGACTGTGCCAATTTTTTTTGCCAATGCGAACGAGGGATTCTAGGACGTTGCTAATTTCACCTAAATCGGTTAATTGTAACAATGCTTAATAAAACTTTAAATTCAATGCAAAAATAATGGAATTATTTTCACTACACCTAATACTAACGTCTATACATATACAAGTATAACATTGAGCCTAATTTTTTTGTTGGATTAGTTTTTGGCCCAAAGAAATGCTTACATTATAAAAAAAAATTTCACTTCCTTTAGCCACTGTATTAAAATATTGGACTAAAATGAAATCGTGTCACCCTCACATTATCCACCATTACGTGTGTATACACCGACTTTAGTGTGGCCGTTTAAATTGATGTTAAAAGAATGCCACTGTTTGCGAATTTTTATCCCAATATAACTGAAACAAAAACAGTTGTGGAATAAGTGTAATATTAATGTGATCGCCACATCTTCAGTGAAGTTTCGCTTTGGTCACCTCGGTAGGTGATTTTAGTAATTAAATTGTCAAATTATACAATTAAGTCTTTTATCCTTGTGAACGAATGTATTCATATTGAGCTATGTTATTTAAGGCAAAGAAACTCTTCGCTCAAAAAAATAAGCCTTCGTATTAGCCATGACTCCGACTAACATCTGACCATGTTC